ATGCTGATAAAGCCATAATTCGTGGAAACCCCATTAGGAAGCAAAAAATCTTATCGCGAGAAATGAAGATTCCCGCTAGGACTCTGTCGCTTATTATAAAACAACACCTGAAGCTCGATGCTTATCGTCAATATACAGGACATGCCCTAAATCAATCTTTACAAATAAAGAGAGTGGATCGATCAAAACGCCTTCTGTCGCGCTACGCAGGTGAAAAGAAGACAAATATCCTCTTTACCGATGAAAAAAAAGGTGTGTGTCAGCTCCGACGCACGACTGGAGTTTACTCCTTAAGTTCGATAGTCTTACCAGACGCAAAAAGAGTTTATTTAACTTATAAAAGATTGATACTGTATGAAAGGGTAAATTAACAAATTAATGAAAATAATATCTTCTTAATATATATAAATCTCGTGTCACAATGTTTGTCCTCAATGGACCACCCTATCATATCCTAAACCACTGAACCGATTATAATAAAATTCGCACACCATGTGCAGTTCGATCCAACTTGAGAGATAGGATAGTTTAAATCTCAAATTATAGTCCCAATTTTAATTTATTGCAAATTATTACTTTTGGGCGGTACGAAGTTCGCCGAGTCAGCTAGTACATATATAAATATATATTTATTCATTTCGATCGATGATATATTTTACATTAAACTTTTTACAATAGTCAATTTCAGATGTGCATAAATATATCATTAGGAATGTTGATAAATTATGTAATGTTTTTATTTGTTTTGTTACCTTAAGTCATGGTGGGCGATAACAGAGTCATGCTGTTAAGTTAAATTTTTTGTAAGGACAAATCTCAGTTTGTCCTTGGTGGGCGATTAGATTATGTATACGGCATTTGTGCATTTAATAAAATTTTAAATGCACAAATGCCGTATACATAATCTAATCGCCCACCAAGTTCATATGTATCAAAATAGATGGCGCTGTAGTTCGTTGCATCACGCTTGTAAATATGTTTGGAACTACATATAGGCAAAACGTCACCTAACTAATAAAGAAATCTATGGTCTAACAAAATACACTGTAGTTTCAATTTAATTCTTTTGCACCTAAGCTCTCGGATTTAAGTCATTTTGGCTCGAACAGGATGCGCACCAAAAACGTAACGAGGTCATTCATCGATAGATTTCACTCCTCACATTTTTCTCATACCGGGCTCCTTATATAGGGTGAAATTGAATGTTTTAATGAAACTTCGTGAGATGGTTGGGTTACATGTATAGAGTATGCCTGATTTTTTTGATTTTTTTTTTTATTTATTTATTTATAATTTGTGTATTTTTATGTCCTTTTCTCCTTTTGAGTAGTTATTCATTTTAAACAAGCATACTTACATATCCAGTGAAAAACAACTAATAAATAAATATTTCTAAAAAACGGAAAAACAGTAAAATTAAGCGTGCGCTGCCACCGCGGGTCAACGACCGACTGCGCCTGCCAGCCGTTGAGTGAGTAGGTACACAGAGCTCAGCTGACTGCTCTGATTCCACACAATGCAATAAAATCGTGTTAGATACCTTTATTGAAATAATAAGCACAAATGTCATCTTCTCTTAAGCCGAGAAAAACTTAAAAAGTTAATAATAATTTTGTCACGATTGGAAATAGGCAAATGTTAAACAAAAAGAAATACTTATTGCAGTTCAATACTTGGGTCAGAATGAAATTTATAACCAGGTATTCAAAAATACTTACGAGACCGATGTACCTTTTCATTTTTTTCACAATTACTTCCCGTATACACTTTGTAAATAGAAACAATCACCAAACCTACTTTCGTAAAGCCTTGTGGCTCTGCTGAGTATTCCGTGAGACTCGCAGTAACAACACACCATATCCAAATTCTTATATTGAGGCCACAGAACAAGAAGTAATCAAGGCATTATTTGCAAATCTTATCTTGTCACAAATTTAGAAGAATTTAAAAGAAATTCAAAAGCACGCGCGGTGGGAGACTCCGCTCGCTCACTGCGCTGTGCACCGCGCATAGGTAGACAGGAAGGTATTCAACGGCGGGAGCGGTCATTGCTCCCGGCCGCCCGACTCCTGTTTTTACCTTTTTTTTAGTAGTGCTTATTAGTTGTTTTTTACTTACTCTGTATGCGTGTTTTAAAAGAATAATTATTTAGTACCCAAAAGGAGGAAAGGACTTAAAATTTAACAAAAAAAACAAAATTTTATTATAAATCATTTTTTAAAAAATCCGAAAAAAATCAGAGATACTCTATATACGTAACCAAACATTCCCACGAAGTTTCATTAAAACATTCAATTTCACCCTGTATATGCAAATCGATTCTTAAGGAGTAAACTCCAAAAAGTTCACGATTGAAGAACACTACAATAAGCAAAATGATAAAGTGTACGCTCACAGTTCTAAAGAGGCTACTCAAGTGGTCGGGAAGTTACTACATCCTGCGTCATTGTTGGTTTGGTGGGGCGTGTCCTATCAAGGAGTCACAAAACTACATTTTTATGAAAATGGAGTGAAAACTTCAGCCAAAGTGTATCAAGATACAGTCTCGGATCATGTTGTGAAACTTCTCAGCAATACTCTTTTTAAAAATATACCGTGTACTTTCCAGCAGGATTCTGCACCTGGTCACAAGGCACGACCTCCCCAAGCCTGGCTTGAAACCAACATTCCGGACTTTATAAGAGCTGAAGACTGGCCCTTATCTAGCCCAAACCTCAAACCTTTAAACTTCAAATTATGGTCAGTTTTAGAGATCATGGCCTGCTCTAAACGGCACGGCAACATGGAGTCTCTTAAAAAATCTTTGGAGCAAGCAGTGGTGAAAGGAGACCCGGCACTTTTCATAGAAAAAATGCTAAACTTGTATACAGTAGAATTTGGTCTCAAAATAAAGCCAAAATTATTTGCTACATAAAACTACTTTTGCCTTATTTTTAGTGAATCGTGGAAAGAAGTTATTTAATGATTAATATTTTTTGATATAGAAACCCATTTGATGACAAACCTACGTATTTGACATTGACAGCTAGCTGCTGATGACAAATATTGCCAGACTACGTTACCCAATTATGAAACACAGATAAAAAAATTAAAAAAGTATACAACTTTGGCACAAAATGCCGGGTGTCCTTTCCCTTGTAAAACAGTGCGTAAATCCACAGATTCAAGCCAAAGGTGGCCATTTCGAATAGAATATTTTTTTTATTTTTTGATGAGACTAATAAATATGTATAATAATATGTAAAAAAATGCATTTTCATTTGTAACAGAATTTATGGCTGGACCAGGTATTTTGATACCTACTTCTACAGTTTTGTAACATGTAGGTTACAAAAAAAGGCTAGACATCGTTTTTCAATTAAATTCTTCAACACGTTCCCAAGATAAAGGACCTTGACAGAACAGACAGACAGTCTCTGTTTTTTTTTTATGTTAACTTAGAAGTTGGACTTTTTCACAGATTCAAGGGACTCTAGATCTGGGTATATGATTTAAATTTTAACTCGATTCACACGTTCCCGAGACAAAGGCGGTCAGACAGACGGACACCAAAGTTATTCTGTAAGAGTGCCGTTTTTCTTTTGAGGTACGAAAAGACTTTGTGTTATGGAGGCACCACCCTAAGTGTTTATGACTTAGAAACAGTTATTTTTACAAGCGGGCAAATTCAACATTTCTGTGTATAAATATCATGTTTCAGACCGGACGGCGTTGATTTATATGGATGGATGGACAAGTGTTATCTTTCAGTAAATGCATTGAACGTGTTAAAAATAATTATTCTTCAAATATTAGTTCACCAATCATAAAAAAGTTAGTAGTTTTAATACAAACTTTTCTGTGGCGGAGAAAGATAAACTTTGTTTTGATTGTTGCTTGCCGTTAGAATCCTCTTTAATTAAGAAACTAATGAGCTCTCTTTATCTACTGTTAATATATAAATATTTCCAACACTCACACCAATTAGCCTAGCCCTTTGGGCTAGGCTAATTCCTTACTTTGGTAAGCATTGTAAGGCTTGTGTTATGGGATACTAGGGTAACGGATAGAATACATAAATAAGTATATTACTATAGAAATACGTATTAAACATCCATGACTGGAGTACAAACTACTATTTAAACCCGCAAACATCTGCCCACACTGAGATTCCAACCCGGGACCTCACGAGTCGGCGACACCATGAAACCCGGCGTATAAACCACTCGGCCACGGAGGTCATGAATGTTGTTGATGAACAAGTCAATGCTTTTTAATTTAATAATAATTAATTAAAGTACTCATTATTCTACAATAAAAGTAGGTATTCCAGTGTATCATTCCTAAAATAATTCAACCTCCGCATTTCTACTGCTGCTGCTTGAACATCAACTATGTGTCCGCAGGACATCGAAGGTTCCTATAACTATGACACTGAACTATTTATTGTTCAACGTAACTTTATCAGATACCTACTTATAAAGGGACAAGTTAGTATAATTAACCACTAGCCCAAGCCAGAACCCCAGTTTTGGTATCTGCTTATGCGTTAGTTATTATGGGACTTGGTCATTCATTGCATAAAAACAGAAATTGTATTTAAGCATTTCTTATGATTTCACACTCACCAATAATTTAATAAAACACATTTTCTGAAATGTAATATATCGCGCATTACATATTCCAAGAGTATTTTTACATAAAAAAAGAATTACACACACATCAAAAATGTCTAAGCAGCACGCACTGCACGCATCATTTACAGAAACTGTACCTTATTTTTTTTTCTTTGAAAATATATTTGTTACACAATCTTTTTTGTTCTCTGACAATTGGCTGATTAATTTAAATAGAAACTTTGCTATTGTGTAAAAAATAGCATAGTATAAATATATAAAATAGTAAAAATCGTTCTGTAGTTCAAAGCCGTAGATGTCTGTTGGCAAGCCTCCCTAGGGCAGACATTTAAACTTTTTTGATGAATATAATTGAAGCATTCTGATAAATGTTGGTTGTTCCAGAACAAATATTGGTGGTGGATGGCGGCGGGGCTGGTACTGGTGTGTGCCGCTGCAGCCCGCGCCGACGGCGAGGTCTGGGAGGAGGGCGACCACGAAGTGCTCATACGCAACGAGCGAGGCGCCAAGAACAAAGGTAATCAGTAATAAGATTTCGAGATATGATCATGATGACGTGACGTGATGATGTAACGAACCGTGGCCGAGTAGTATATACGCCGGGTTTCAAGATGTCGCCACTCAGAGGTCCCGGTTTCGAATACCGGTGGGGACAAATGTTTGTATGCTGAATCGTATTCATTCCCATTGTCGTGTTTATATATATATTTGTGGATAAAATATAAGTATATATATATCTCTATATGCATCAGTATAATTATGTAGGTATTGTATTCTATCCGTTACCCTAAAACCCTAAACCTTTCCTGGACTATGACAAACATTTCAAAAATCAAAATCAGCTAAATCGGCCCAGCCGTTCTCGAGTTTTAGCGAGACAAACGAACCACATGTTTTTTGTAATATATAGATGTATTTATCATCCTTATGGCTTAGATTAAAACAAAAAACCGCTTTTTTGTTTTAATCTAAGCCTTATGGCGTTGTCCTTATTAGCAACGATCATACGATCGCACGATGGGATCTCATCGTGCGATGAAAATAATGTGTCTGTGCTCGTGCGACGACTTACGAGCTGTATTGGGACACTACTGTAGAAATCTTTATGTTTAAAAACAATGGCACGACGTGAAAACATCGTGTCGTCGTTGCGATGGATTGTTATAACTGATTGTAACAACCTATTAACACAAAGTACAGAACCGCCGTAATCTCTCCATTACTGGGACTCTAATCTTCCCCTATGGAATAGGGAGAATTGAATTGTCAACATTGTCATTACAATCAAAGACTTCTTCACAAGAGCCGCGAAGAAATTTTCACAGGCTGGGCATGTTAATATTAAGTAATCAATTAAATTACGAACATTTAAATAAGTGTAAAGTACATAGTTAAGTGAGAATGATCAAAAATGCAAGGTATAGTATAGTAACTATTTGGTAACTTTGCTTGTCCATCAAGAAAATCTAAAATAAAAACTTCACCCAATTTGTGAGAAGCAACCTACCTACCTATTTATTTATATATTGGGCCCTCGGAATGGCATCTAAACAACCATGGCAGACGCAAAATAAACAAATCTGACATGTGGTGAAGGGATGGGAACGAGTGGGCCTGTCCTCTGTCTCTCTTATTCGCTGCAATGGACAGAAATAAGTCCTGTCAGTTAACAGTAACACGTGTGGAACTGTAGACCCGTCTCCATAAAAATAATGTACACTTCAATACGAGTGACCGCAGTTTGCTCCAGTTCAGATTCGCCTTTATGAAAAATGTCAAATAATAATAAGAAGGAAACTTTATTCGTTCCAATCCGTTTCTATTACCCTGCATTATATACTCACTAATAATTCATATAAATTGGTGGCTGCGGAATCGAGCGGCGGTATTTCAGACTATTACATTACACTGGCTTTCGATTGATTTACTTGAACAAGAGACGAACAGATACAAATTCATATAAGTTGGAATATCATTGAGTTTGAAAATAAAAAGTGTTAGGTAGGTATAGTAAGTGACTAGCGGCACGGTAATATTATCTATACAGTTTTCTATCTTCATACAAACGGTCGGAAAGCGTGTCATACCTACGCCACTCGAGTTCGCGCGGCACCCGGTGGGCATCCACGAATGCGCCGCAGCGACGTCCGAACGGTGTGAATTGTTTTTAATTAGTTAGCCGTGCTTAAACGTTTGTATTGTGAATATTTGATTGAATTAAGTAGATACCTACATAATTTAATATGGCAAAGAGCAATAGTCGATATTGTGCTGGGTTTGGTTGCTTGAACTCTTCAATAATTAAACTTTTTATACGAATGCGTATTTATTATACTATTAAAGGAGATTGCTCAGCTTCCATACATGTTTGGCCTAAAAACCAATAACCATGAAAAATTGTTTCCTACATTCGAAATTATATATAAATTACCGTAGAAACGAATATTATCGACGGCCACTCCTGAGAACTTCTATAAACCATAATACACTGAATGATTTTGAGGTTATGTTTGCAAATAGGCACATAGGTATTAGAATAATAAAAACCAAATAACTTATATAGGAAAATAGGGCAATCAAGCCAAGTACCTACCGATATTATGTATTAGATTCAGGTATATAGAGCATGTAAAATAACAGATATGTGCATGTTTTTAAAAACACGAACAGAAACTGTGTGATGATTGTGAATGAGCCACAGATTAGAGAGAATTTTTAAACTCTCGTTAATCAAAGAAAGCTAAGAGCTGTAGGTTATACAGCCATATCTTCAGCAGCTTCATTATTTTTGTTATGTTTTTATTATAACCATATTTTAGATTTTTAGTGTATCACACCTTATAATGTGTTTATTTAGGTGTTTGGCAAAAAATGTACGGCAATAGACTTTATGATGTCGCCTACCATCTATATTAATTGTCTTAGCACATTTGCATGTAGTAAAAATGATAATAAAGTTGTGGATATTAATACCACCCGTGTATTAAAAAAAAATATATTTTATCAATCTTTACAAAATAGATTTGTTTTGATGTTATTTATATATTTATTTAATTTGATCGAGGTTGTTTATACAACCTCGATCAGTCTTTGTGAATGTTACTACACCCATAGCCAATAAAAATGATTCGTATGTTTTCCAAATCGGTAAAAATAGAAGTCCTTTTTTAAAATTAATATATTATTTAAAGGTGGCCGTTAAAATCTAATGACTGTAAAATAAAGTATAAATTACGCCAAGAATTACTGTATATGTCAATATTTTATTTGCATTTAGGCCAATTTGACCAATCTCCTTTAATATTAAAGCTTTTCGTACGTCTCAGTCGAGGCGTAAATATTTTTCCGTCTCAAATCTATATTTTTTTTATTAAATATTACACTTAAAATAACATGTATTTTATGTAACACTTCCTAATTCATTCAGAACATTTTTTTTTACATAATATGAAATAAAATATTTACAATCACAAAACTAGAAAGAAAATCAATTACGTAGATGAAATTAAAATACTGTACCCTACCGCGTGGATACGCCCCGCTCGGCCGTAGGCAGTTATTTCAAGGACAGGGCGGAATCACAATACTGTATAGAAAATATTACCATGCTAGCGGGATCGCTACTAACTAACTACCTTGTTTTTTGCTTTTTTTGCGTGTTGCAAGCGCCATGCTCACGTAGGTGTGACAGTCAAAGTACGCGCGTGTTGACTACCCTTTTTTTATTTCCGGAAAATGCCGTAAGGCAAAACTACACTTACCTGTAGTGTTGTGTTGTGTTGTTGTGACCCATCAGAGAGCTATCTGTTTAATAAATTTACTATGGTTACCTGTCCGTAACACCTGCAGTAGTATGGGTAGGGATTAGGGTTACCATTTAGGAATTTCAAATGTCCTGACAAAAATCCTGACATTTCGGAAAAAGTCCGGACTTTTTAGTCACAAAATGGTACCATTACTCACTTAGTCTGGTATGGTATTTAAATCAATATGGACTTTTATAATCCATGCGCAACGTAGTTTAAAAAATCCGGACGAAGTCCGGCCTATAGTCTTAAAAAGTCCATTTCCGGACGGATGGTGACCCTAGTTGGAATCACTTTGCCTATTATAGTTATAGCTCAATTTAAATGTTAAACACGCCAACTGAAAATTAGTTTGGCTACTTTGGCGAAATATCGTCCATATGTGGTTCGATTTCGAACAAACAGCGAACATTATTATGGCAAGTAGACGCATCGAAATAGACAATCATATACTGTGGCTCTTTTACGGTTAGGCTAATTGGTGTCAGGGGGGTAATACCTTTTACTTATTTAATTTATTTAACTCTTTGTACAGCTGCCTGTCGCTACGTCCGCAGCGCTTGGTCGGAGTGCGACTCTAAGACCAACATCAAGTCGCGCGTGCTGACCCTGAAGAACGGCGACCCGTCCTCCTGCGAACGCACCAAGACCATACAGAAGAAGTGCAAGAAGCGTGAGTACCTTTTTTTTTTCGATGAAGTGGAGACTGCATCATTCATGCCCCGTAGATACATAATCCAACATGCCGCATCCGGTGCTCGGGAAGCAGTGTGCACTGCACTGCTACGTGGAGCTTGAAGATCGCTGATCGCTGACGGTTCGTAGTCGCAAAAGGGCATTCACTTTTGCCAGCACAAGTGACTACGCCCTCTAACACGTTCCTGGGCTTCTGGCTGGTTATATACTTTAGAACTTTTCCAACAAAAGGGTGGTTAACTGGTTACACCAATTTTATTTTCGATTCTAAGTTACACACTTTTAGAAAAAAATCCAAATAGGCACAAATTATGTCGTAATTAAAATTCCTAGAAACTTTTCGTGAGAATGTAGGTAAATTATAAGGTTACAGGTACCATGTTTTAAGTCTCATTCTCATTTGTTTGTAACAATTGATAAAGATTGATGTTGTGTTAAGCAGAATTAAGCCTTGTTTAAATAACCGAAAAAAACAAATAAAAAATGATAACCTACCTAGTTTGGTAACAAATTTATTTCTGTGGTTTGAATCCAGAATGTTTTTGCAAGTGACCCTTAGTTTGCAAGATTTCATGATAAGCCATTGCATGAATAAGTGACCTTTCCCTTTTTTATATATTTAATGTTCAGATTCTGATTATTCCTGTTAATGCAGCTTGTCGCTATGAGAAGTCGTCGTGGAGCGAGTGCAATTCCAATGGCGAGATGTCCAGGACCGACATGCTGAAGAGCAACAGCGACCCCAGCTGCGATCAGAGTCGGCGTGTCACCAAAAAGTGTAACAAGAACAAGCAAGTCAAGTCTGCTAAAGACAAGGGTCGGTCAATATTTTACTACCATTTAAACTTTAGATTAGATACGTAGGTAGTGCTTTCTTGCGACGGAATGTGCTGCCCTCTGTACCGACCGACCTACTTAAAAAACTTAGAAAAGGAAATTGAAAAGAATAGATAACTAATAGACACAGGGCAATATTTTGCCCTGTGTCTATTTGTTAGTAATCTATTAATACCCAATAGGTAGTGTAATCAATAGGATGCAAACAATAGGTACTATCAGCCAATTTGATTCCTAGCCCACTATAAGTTTATTTTTTTACAACCATTGCAAATATTAGTAACAAAACAATAAGGTACATTTTCGATCAAGTACGTATCCCTGGAAACAAACTTGTTATTTTTTGTTATTAAAAGATCTTAAGTGCAGTTACGCATACAGTAAAAGAAAACTCCATTTTGACCTGTATCAAAAGGAAGATCACACTTTGAAAAAGAAAATAATAAAATTACGGGCGATTTGATGTCGGGACGGGTGGAGAAAAATTTTTGAGAGAAAAAAAAATTGGAACTGGAAAAAGGAAGAAAACACATATAGAATAATATCAGAAGGACGAAAACATAAAAAAAAAAGTGGAAATATGATTACGAAACCATACTTTTTTTTCATCAAACCCAAACGTGTGGATATGTCAAATCTAAGGATAGGTCTTCAAAAATAATATTGTGTTTCTAATATTTTTTTTTCTAAACGAATAGTTTACTCGAGAGACACTTCCAAAGTCTATGGTGCCGTATCCGCTCTGAAACCCAGCCAATGTCCCATCCCTGTAACTTCTAAAATAAGAGAAAGATAAAACTAAAATAAATATATGATGTACATTACCAAACAAACTTCCACAGAAAATTGATTTGAACGATATCTAGTAAGTAGTTTTTTTTAATACGTCCTTAATGGTAAACAACTATTTACCTTTCATTCAATCAACTCAAATATAAAAATATAATTTCATAAACATTAATGTTATGCATAAACCGTGAACTATTATTTCCTAATAATAAATCTGTAATAGGTGCTTAAGTAAATAATAATTATAATTCACGCGGGGCGTGGCTTGATCGGTAGCGGGTGCAGAGCGCACGGGGGGCAGGTTTTATATTATGTTACTTGCTGCCACGGAACCCTTCATGAGCGAGTCCGACTCGTACTTGACCGCTTTTTTTGTTTTTTGGAACCTCTTCTTTCTGATGATAGATAGATTCTGGGTAAAACGAGTTCGATCATCTACATATTTATAAGGAAATACACACATCAAAAGTGTCTAGGGATCAACATATATTTTTGCAATAACTTTTCTCCTGATTGATATTAATTAAAATTTTCTTTAAGGATTCATCAAATAAAGTGTTTTCGTTTGTCACAGTAACGATAAACCAAGTCACCTTTGCATTAATAAAGAAATTTGCCATTTTCCTAATAAAGGGATTTTTGACATTTGAACCACTAACACAAAAGTTCGAAAAAAAGACTGAAATAACAGTTTTCTCTAAAATTTTATTGGGTAACTTAAACAATTAATAATCCGTATTTCTACCGCGAACAATAACAACACAAGAACATCGGTTTGGCATACTCAAAATGAGTTCATCCAAATCACGCTGTGGAATGGCCGCCCATGTTCGTTGCAACAACAAAAAAAGGTCTTCTTGCGACTGGATACCCTCCATATTCGGCAGAGCTCTTCTCTGTAGCATATCCCATGCATGCTCAATCGGGTTCAAGTCTGGCGACTGAGCAGGCCAGGGCAGGACATTGATGTTAGCTACGGCGAGAGTCTGTCCTACAACTCTTGCGGTGTGCGGTCGTGCATTATCATGCATTAACTGAAATAAGGGACCGATTTGCACTTGTAGAGGAACGATGACGTCTGATACAATCGTCTCAGCATAAATTTGAGCGTTGAGGTTGCCTCTGATCCAAATCAACTCAGTTCTTCCGCCGATCCAAATACCCGCCCATACCATGATGGTTCCACCACTATAAGGATGGACTTCCTGGCAGGATTTTAATCGCTGTTGGCGTCCAGGGGTTCTCCAGTGTCGTATACGTCTTGTATCCGGTCTCATACCAAAACGAGACTCATCAGAAAGCACACGAAACGCCATTGTTCTTCTGCCCAATTTCTGTGTTCAAGAGCCCATTGATATCGAATCCTACGATTGTGCATTGCTATAGGTGGTACCCGTAGCGGTCTTCGGGAATGAAGGTTCACTTCATGCAAGCGGTTTCTGACTGTTTGGTCGCTAATTAAGTTCCCTGAAGAGTGATGAAGCCTCACGGCTAACATCATGGCGGTTATTGTTGGAGGTCTTCGAGTTAAGATTTGAATGTATTGGTCTTGTCTCCGTGTGGTGCAGCGATACCGTCCTCCATGGCGCTCAGCCACAGTACCAGTGCTTCGGTATCGTGTCCAAAGTCGACTGATAACACTCTGACTTGTATTCAGAGCTAAAGCCACAGTACGTTGCCGGGAACCAGCTTCTATCATTCCCACGGCTCTGAGCATTTCTTCCCTGCTTAAATGACGTCGCCGCTCCATAATAACGTTGGTTTTAATCAGTAGTAGGGAAACAGTAGCACTAATAATGTCTTCAATGCGTTGTATGTTTTTATAGGGAAAATATTGACAGCTGATTTTCATCTTTTACTCGAATTTGATTCACAGTTCCTGATTCAAATTATGAAATGCACCAAAAAGGATCCATATAAATTTATAAAATCATAAATTTATTACAAAGCCACATCTCAATCTCAAGAAATCCGCATAAAAATGCTTGATCCCTAGACACTTTTGATGTGTGTATATATTTTATACAAAGATAGGGAGAACTCCAGAGGCATGGAGTAGGAGTGTGTTCGTCTTGTTTTTAAAAAGGGGGACACGACCCTACTTAAGAACTATCGACCCATATCCCTTCTAAGCCACGTCTATAAGCTGATCTCAAGAGTGATTGCGAACCGTCTTGCGCGAAGACTTGATGACTTCCAACCACCGGAACAGGCTGGGTTTCAGAGCGGATACGGCACCATAGACCACATCCACACAGTGCGGCAGATTATACAGAAGACTGAGGAGTACAATCAGCCCCTGTGCTTAGCATTTGTGCACTATAAGAAGGTCTTTGACTCGATTGAAATCTGTTCTGTCCTGGAGTCCCTGCAGCATTGCCAAGTCGACTGGCAATACATCGAAGTGATTAGATGTCTCTACGAAGTCGCCATCATGACTGACCAAGTACAGAATCAGCAAATAAGTCTCATACCGTTGCATCGTGGAGTGAGACAAGGGGACGTTATTTCCCCGAAATTGTTCACTAATGCAATGGAGGATATGTTCAAGACGTTAAACTGGAAAGGACCTGGCATCAACATAGATAGCAAACGCATCTCTCACTTGCGATTTGCAGACGACATCGTCATCATGGCAGAAACCCTGCAGGACCTACAACAGATGCTGAATGACCTGGCTGACTCTTCTATACGCATCGGCCTACGGATGAACTTGGATAAAACCAAGGTCATGTTCAATGAACATGTTCTACCGAAACCGATTGCAATACACGGAGCCGTTCTCGAAGTTGTTCAAAAATATGTGTACCTCGGGCAGACATTACAGTTAGGTAGAAACAACTTTGAGGACGAGGTGAATAGAAGAGTTCAGCTAGGTTGGGCAGCGTTTGGGAAGCTACGTCAAGTCCTGACATCGTCGATCCCATAGTGCCAAAGACGAAAGTCTTCAATCAGTGCGTCCTACCTGAGATGACATACGGAGCCGAGACGTGGACACTGACGGTACAGCTGGTCCACAGGTTCAAAGTTGCTCAGCGCGCTATGGGGCTATGCTCGGCGTTTCACTGAAGGATCGCATCAGAAATGAGGTGATCCGACGGAGAACCAGAGTTATCGACATAGCCCACCGGATTAGCAAGTTGAAGTGGCAGTGGGCTGGCCATATTTGCCGAAGAACCGATAACCTTTTTGGTAGACAAGTTCTGGAGTGGAGACCGCGTCTAGGCAAACGTAGTGTAGGACGTCCTCAGGCACGATGGAGTGACGATTTGCGCAAGGTGGCTGGCAGGAGCAGGATGCGAGTAGCTCAAGATCTATCTAAGTGGCGTCCAATTGGAGTGGCCTATGCCCAGCAGTGGACTAGGAGTGGAGGATAGGCTGTTGATGATGATGACACAGATAGGCTAGCCTATCTCAACCCCGAATTGTAAATATGTAGTTGATCGAACTCGTTTTACCCAGAATTTGGTGGTTAGCCTGCTTAGGGGTTGATAGGGTGATTTCTACCCCTAAAAAGCACGAAAAAGAAAGAATTTCCGCAGTGCTACAAAAAAGCAGACATAATTATGAGTATCTAAAAAAAAACAAATCATTTGGATTAGATTAACTGCATCGCGCGTAGTTTTGATCGTTTCCGCCCACTGTGCGCCGCACCGAGTGTAGCTCTGCCAAGGGCATCATGCATGATTTGGATTTACCTTCTTTAATGTCTGTTGTGTGTCCAAAGCATGTCATCTATTTTAATATTTCAGTCACTGGTAGTTTTTTAGCTATCAGAATCAAAGAAAACTATGCTGAAGTCATAAAGAAAATAGTTTGACTGACATAAATAGTAAGTAGTACCAGTTAAATTAAAAAAATAATCGAAATGTGTGTTGGGATTGGGACACAAAGTAGAAGTAAAATTTCAACGGACAAGTACGTTTCACCGCACAATAAGTATATAGTCTACCCCACCACGCGGCCGGCTTTTGCGTGACAGCAAATCCTAAAACCCTCTTCTATAAAGGAGTTTCACTTCAATAATCGAATGCACAGCATGTATTAATGGCGATCTCCAGACTTGCCGTTTATATTGGGCAAACTGTTTAATTGAGTATTTTAGTGCGACAAAGATTAGTTAAAGAATGTGAGTGATAGTTCAAGTTGGCGTTGTTAGTACTAGAAAATCTCCCGAATTTTAGGGCACTAGTCAAGTTCAACTGCTTAGTAAATATTCTATTCATTATCAAGTTGCTGTTATTATTTAAGTTGTTGTTTTATTTGTTTACTCTTACGCATCTTAATTTTACCATCAGTAGGTACCAAAAATGGGGTAAACTTAGAGCTTGGTATATGCTCTAAGGGGATGACAGTCTGAGAAGAACTGCTTGAACTAAATATTATGACGTAAACATCATCAACGTCAACAGTGCGTCGACGACAATTTTTTTAAAGTTCAGTCCTTTTTATAGTAATTAGCTTAATTATATAAATAGCTAATATTATGAAGTAATCATTCTCATACCTCCAAGTTTTGTTAGTATAATTACAGTCCTTATTCATGTGATATTCAGGCCCACTTGTAGCAAAATTGCTAAATCTCGATTGAACTTAAACTAGATTTATCTCAAAGAAATATGTCGATAGATTTATCCCAAAGAAAAGAAAAACATCAATGTCAATAAAGACATTATTGTTAGGGCATTATCTAATTTTTAGTTAAATCTAGAATTTTGCAATTTGTTGCAAGTGGACATTAAAGAAGCTCATGTTTTTTTTTTGTTACAGGTCGCCGAAATCGTCAGTAAATTATTATAACAAATTCAGACTAGGTTAAAATTTTCTTTGTAATAAAATTTGATGGTTGGTTCTAATTTATGTAATAGTGCCAAAATAGTGTCGTTACTTCAAAATATAATATTATTTAAATGTTTTTTATAACACCCACACTTTATTTAAATATATATATACTTAAGCCTTAAATAAGCAGTAATATAACAGTACAATGGTGTCGATTCTGGCACAATTCTCTAAACTTAAACTAAATTTAAAATCAGTCTATCCATTCTGTATAGAGAATAACAAGGATACACTGATGTCAAATTTAAGTTTAGGTTTAGAGAATCATGCCGGGATCGACACCAGTTTCTCTTAAATTGTATTAAATTAATATCAGAGTTCAGTAGGTACATATTAATTTTATTATGTCCAATAAGTCAAATCTTTGATATTAAAATAATTAAGTACTTAAGTAAGATGTGTTTTATTTAAAATTATTAAAAAAAAAAATTGTTAACACGCGTGCGCACTGTAAATGTTTTCCTCCGTCGTTTAATCAACCAGTAAGTACTTGGATCATGCACTATAAGTATCGAAATCTGTCGTCTAAGACTTGGTACTATCAGTCATCTTGATTTCTGACGCCATCATAAGCTTATTTTCTTACAACTAATGCAAAATATTAAGGTACATTTTTGCTTAAATGTATGTGGGTAATTCTAATTCTCCCTGGAAATAAATGTGTACTTTTTATAATATTTTTGATGTGATATATTTTGTTCCCTGTGACATATTGCTGACGTTTTACCAAAGTTTTTCTTGTAAAGAAATCAATACTTATTTTGATATTGAAAGAGCGATCACTTTTTTTCTAATATGATCTACTGTCAAAGGTCTCTGAATCACATAAATACAGTTTCCTTGTTATTGGAAGGCCATAAGTGCAATTACGCATTTTCTAGAGAAGAAAACTTATCTGTGTTGACCTTAAATTAAAACGATTAAAACAAAAAGGGAAGATCCGGTATGCTAGTTTACATCAAATAAAATATGATCTGACTCAACTACTTAAGCAACTTTCACACACACACATCTGTAAATAAACATTCAATCAAGCGAGCGAGACAGAACCATGCTTCAACGCAACGCGAGCGAAACGACGGCCGCACGGCTGAGCTCATTGTTGCCCTTTTCCTGATAACATAATGGCGATTACGTAAATAACATTCACGATAAACCGTGATTTTTGAGAAAAATATGATTTTACAGTTTTTCGAATTGTTATTTGATTTTGAACTATTTGTGTTCATTGTAAAAGCATTGTTTTTATCTTTATAATACAGAATTTTACGCAATATTATTAAATTTAGTGCACATGTAGCGTGTTTGAATGTCCAATTGTGACTTAAGCGAATTGTGGTCATGCACCACAATTTAAGCAGATACTGGTGTCAATTCTGGCATGATTATCTAAACTTAAAACTAAATTTGGCACCAGTTTCTCCATTTCATTCAGCATAGAGAATGACAAGGATACACTGAGACCGATTCTGGGTTACATTCTCTAAACCTAAACTTAAAATTAGAGAGCTACCTAATTTTAGTTTAGGTTTAGAGATTTGGTATTCTGAAATTGCAAACTGACTAAATTAAGAACACAGTTGACAGCTGTAAACGAGCATCTAAATTGAACTCACAGATTATGTAAAAGCATACCGGTAATTATCGGTTTACTCAAATTAGCAATAAATACTTATTATTCAGTGATTTTTACTTATTTCAGTAATTCTTTGTTGTTCTTCATCATCTTTGAAATAAGGAAACTTATTGTAAAGTTTGTTATTTTACTGTATGAAATATTATGAATCAATATTAATACTTGCCTACTCTGTGGTACTAAGGGTTTCTAGATTAGGAGTATTTATCCTTATTTTGGGGAAAGTTATGAACTTGGAGAAATTTAATTTGCGGGAAGAACTTTTGCCCGGTTCCTATATTTGAGAAATGATCCGTTATAGTTACGAATAGTAGTATAATATACGAGGCGTAAGCTAAAACCGTTCCTATAAAAAACGACTCGTCAGGTAAGTTACCGACGGCTTGCTACTAACGGATGGGAGGATTACCAGTGACGGATGGAGAGCGTATTGTACGGATATGACAGTTTATGGCGTTCCAATAATTATTTTTAACGTCAGTAGGCTTTCAAGAATACTATTCGTAACGTCATTCAGTTATCTGCCGATTTCGGTTAGTTAAAGTTTCAATTTCACTGTTTTCGCTCTATTTGAAACTAAAATGTCGAGTTCAGATAGTGATATGGAAGTGCTAAATATTATATCGGACTCCAGTGAGACAGAAGAAGATAGTAGGCGTGATAGAGTGTATAAAGAACGTGTGGATTATTTAACGACTCTAGATTCGTACAAATTTCAAGTGAGATTTCGACTAGATAAAGGATCTGTTGAAGATTTACTTCTTGAAATTTATCCACACTTAAGAGTAACAGGACGCAGGTTAGTATTTTGCAGGCTTCTGTACGCCCTTAAACTCTAACCTTAGTAAACATAGCCATATCGTCAGATCTCATCATATGTGAAATAAATTATTGTTGTTATTTCAGGAATCATGGCATATCTCCACTACATCAGCTATTGTTGACGTTAAGATTCTATGCTTTAGGAACAATGCTGTTATCAGTGGCAGACTTTGTGGGTGTATCGAAAACATCAGCTTGTCGCATTGTCCGTGATGTCAGTTATGCTATTGCTAAACTGTATAGCAAATATATTTACATGCAAACTGACACAGAACAAGAATTTTATAAAGTAGCTAGGTTCCCACGAGTTCTTGGTGCACTTGATGGTACACACATTAGAATACAATCACCATGTAAGTCTCCCTGAAATTAAGTACCTAAGTAGTTACTCACCATATGGTTTATGTTTGTTAGTTCATTACTTTAATCATTAATAGCTTTTTTAGTTATATAGTTAGTTCAATAAACTTCATAAGAAGTTTATAAAACTATACAATCAATTCGTTTGTAAATCTTATTTATTTAATGTTGAATTTTGAATTATTTTAATTTTGCATATAACGAAACGCACATCTGTGAGTGAAGAGGGCTCGGTATTTGAACGACCGACGGACGCTCGTTGACTGCAGGTATAGAAAGTAAATTGTGGAACGGTATTTACGACTCGTAGTCGGTTGTAGAAAAACGGATAGTAATTTTTACACAATGACGATTCGTAAAATATAGGAACCGGGCATTATGAATCATATTTTTTCTTAGAGCATGGCCTAAGTATTTTTTTTGCATGGATGGGGAAAGCCACCACTTTTAAAATTAAATTTAAATATAGTTACCAACTAGAAATTGGTACCGAACAAATCTATTAAGGATGATCAGTGACGATAGACCGTGTCGAGTCTGAGCCGAGCTTCAGCCGTAGCATGGTCACTGAGCCGATCCCCTACCTGTATTTTACAAAGACGTGCCTCGACCGAGCAATTAGGTAGGTACCGTTGTACCGTGATGCAGTTTATTCATTCAGATAAAGTAAATAGGGTAAGTGTACTCGTCCGAGCAAAAACGTTTTTTGTTTTGTCTGAGGTATGACTACGATTGCCCGGCGGCAGCGCGCCGGCGCTGTATCCATGCAACGGGCCGTGGCCGAGTCGAGGCGGGACCAAGTTTTTTCCGAGCGTTGTTTCGTTAGTTGCTCGGTTGTCAGTCGGTTACCGCCCGGAATAGCGTGAATGTGTTCATAATCCATGTAAAATATATTATTTAATATTAGTTATCTAAAGGAGCTCGTTGGCTCAGGTGGTTAGCGCGTTCGGCTGCGATCGTTGAAGTTAAGCAACTTTCGCAGTGGTGGTCATTGGATAGGTGACCAAAAATCTTCTATCTCGAGTTTCTCCGCCTGCATCTGCAGTCGTTAGCACCCGCCAACCCGCTCTGGGCCCTCGTGGTGGGTCATGGCCCAATCTCCCAATTCCATCCATAGGGAAGGCCTGTGCCGCAGCAATGGGGACATTAATAGGCTACGACAGATACGGTCTAATGTGAATCATCCTTGAAAATTTCTCGCATCGTAATTTCTCAATCCAGCGCATCTATCTAATACCTCTATGGTTATTAATTTCGGTTTCGGTAAAAGGTTGTAATTATACCCTCGGCTGGTTTGTGAAGATTTTGTTCTCATTTAAGTATTTTATAATCCGAGATGCATAACCTATTTTTATCTTTTTTTGTTTCTATCAGTTTTTTGGCGAGATCGTCCCAAATCCCAATTATTGAAGTTATACTTCTTTAGGCGCGTTATGAAAAAATTATGAGAGTGAAATTTTTAGATGCGCGCGCATCCCTGTAACCCAAAAGTAACAGCATGAAGTTGGCCGCGGGCGCGTTATGAAAAAATCATGTGAGTGAAATTTCGAGATGCGCGCGCATCACTGTAACACAATAGTAACACCATGAAGTTGACCGCGGGCGCGTTATGAATGTTAGTCTCTAATAATGGTGATTATTAGACATCTGTTAGAAAGGTACTTTGAACGATCCACGGAGCTCCATAAGATGATCGCGTTGTCAAAAACAATGTTGGCACGCTCGTCGCCTCTGATCACTGTTTTCATATTTATGATATTTATCCACATGTTTCTAGTTTCTATATAGACACAACGTGTTTTAGTTACTTACAAGTGCTAATTACATATGGACTAATATAACTTAAATTCAGTAGTGATTTTAATTGAATATTTTGAATATTTATTTAATTTTTAGGGTTCCGTACCTCAAAAGGAAAAACGGAACCCTTATAGGATCACTTTGTTGTCCGTCTGTCCGTCCGTCCGTCTGTCAAGACCCTTTTTCTCAGGAACGCGTGGAGGTATGAAGCTGAAATTTATATCAATTACTCAGGTCTACTGTCCCTTGAAGCTGTGAAAAAATCAAACTTCTAAGCCAACGCAATCAAAAGATACAGCCGTTTATGCCGCAAATTTTCGACACTTGCAAGGGAATCAAAACCTACAGGGTGCTTCCCGTGAACTCAGAATCTTGAAATTTGGTACCAAGCAACGTCTTATAGCATAGATAAAGGAAAAATTACGAAAACCATAAATTTTTAGTTACATCACATAATATATTTTTTTTTAATAATTTTAACCTTACTACCCATTTCCTCATAAACGCGTAGAGGTATTAAATTGAAATTCATACCAAATACTCAGGTCTATAATACCTTTAAGCTGTAACAAAATCAAACTTCTATGTCAACGCAATCAAAAGAAACAGCAATTTAAGCTGCATATTTTGAAACTCGCAAGTACTCGCAAGGGAATCAAAACCTAAAGGGTACTTCCAGTCGACCTAGAATCTTGAAATTTGGCATGAAGCAACGTTTTATAGCACACATAAAGGAAAAATTCCGAAAACCTTAAATTTTTAGTTACATTACAAAATATATATTTTTTAATAAATATAAACTTATTACTTTTTTCCTCATGAACGCGTAGAGCTATCAAGTTGAAATTCATATCAAATACTTAGATCTAATTGCCTTTAACCCGTGAAAAAAAAAATTCTAAGGATTGTCGTAATGAACGAACTTTGTAAACCTTGCAGGTTTGTACGGAACCCTCGGTGCGCGAGTCCGACTCGCACTTGGCCGGTTTTTCAAATTAAAACTGAACTTAATTGACTATGTTAACTATCCTTTTCCAGTCCTTTTATTATTTTATTGTAATTATTAATTACTAGCTGTGCCCCGCAGTGTTACCCGCGGTTTATTAGGTTTATTTTCCCGCAGTAAAACATAGCCTATGTGTTAATCCAGGGTGTCAGCTAACTCCATACCAAATTTTATTAGAATCGCTCTAGCCATTTAGACGTGAAGAAGTAACAAACATACACACTCACAAACTTTCGCATTTATAATATTAGTGTGATTTGCATGCAATTAAAAAATATTTTTAATGATGCTAAAGAAGTATAACTTCTCACGCGCGTACATAAGTTACACGCATCCATTTTTTTCATTTGGTGAAGATGCCAAGTACTTTCGGATAACTAAAAACAAACTTCTCAATTACAACTACATTAGGTAGCTTATAAAAAGTGGGAAATAAAAACAGTTCTAACAAATATTAAAAACTGCTTCATAAAAACAAAACCACTAAAAACAAAGGCCCAAAGAACAAATAATACAAAGTCTATAGTACATTAAAAGTCAAAATATCATTTGGATTGGAATTATTGATTGGAATGCATGTCACTGACAACCATACCTATTATTTTGTTAATTATTTGACTATGTAGTTACTTTAAATATAAGTAGGTACTGTAGGTATTACTTAAAGAATTAGTACATAGATTTCTTACCTTTTTAGCTTGTTTTTTATATGAAGTGGATTATTAATAATTAAAAAAAAAAACCTTAAATTATTTGGTATTTTATACAAGATATACGTATACATTACCTACAAAGTACCATAAAAGCGCAAGTGTAACGCGTTCGTTCTGCGATCGTGAACGCTAAGCAACTTTCAAAATGGCCGATCTTAGGATGGGTGACCAACCAAAAATGTATTATATCGAGTTCCTATGTTGCTGCTCGTTGCATCTGCTGTCGTTAGCCCCCACTAAGCCGCAATAGGCCCGCGTGGTGGCTCATGAAACATTAGGCTTATAATAAATCCGTATCGTAACCATAGACTTACCAACCTTTTTAAAAAAAATAAAAGGTCTAGAACGACGACGGTGATGGGTCAGGCCGCCATTTTTTGCTGATATGGCGCAGAAGTATTGTGTTGATGGCGTAGAAACTTCTACGCGTCGGTGACGTTGAGTAGCGTATAATAGTGACGAATAAATGTTAAGGTTGGCATACACATGCCAAAATATTAAGATTAAATTATGTTGTATAACGTAATTGCACCAATTATGGACACTTTAAGGATGAAAAGGTGGGTTTTTGCAGGATTATTCCTAATATATCAGGATTTTGTTTAAACATCAATGTTGAGCTTAATGTCCGTCTTTTTTCCTTTATGCTTATGCCGAAAAAGTTAGAAACAACCGCATAAAAATGAAAGATATCATTAAAATATAAACACGGGTTTTAAGCTAGTAATGGACAAGGAAAATCATTTAATGGACATCCAGTGATGAACATGCACCAAATATGGACATCTAATAATGAACACAATTTAATAATGGACCCCCACTAATGGACCAGCTCGTTGAATTTAGAATAAGAAGTAGTTCCCTATATCTAAGTAAATAAAAACATCAACAATTTTATAATCAACTAGACATATATTATATTTTTATTTTTTAAAGCATTTATTTGCTAGATTTTAAATCTACAGAAAATTTTTACTAAAAAAAATTCCACGCGGTCCAGGCAGCAGACCGGACTCGAAACTGCACCCTCCGCTATCCGGGCAGATGCACTGACCATTATGTTACCGTGATGTATGCCTTGCAGCCTACGAAATACAAGCTGAAATTACACGAATGGGTTTAGTTAGTATACATACATACACTCTCGAAAAACATTACCCTCCTTTCTTCGGCAGTCAGGTAAAAAGTTAGTATAATAAAAACGAGTGGATACCTTTATTTGGTTGCGTAGAGGAGGTGACGAATATCTACGCTACCGTTGGCGTTGAAGTACCAAAATGGTGGCGTATTTCTACTTCTACGCTATCGTCGCGTTGAGAAAACCACTTATATCTCTGTAAATAAAGTATGATTTGAGTTGCATTATAGCTCCAAACATGGCTGTCACTTTTACTAACATGATGCACTATTTGTTTTTCGTGTAACAATCAAACTTAATTTTTAATGCACAAAAATCTTACCTTGAAAAAATTGTGTACACAAACTACACCAGACGTTCACATGTCAACTGTCAAAAATATAGCCGCTCGTCAAGCCGCTGTCCACAGATTACAGAAACTCAGTGTTGCCACTTCCCGATTTGAACTTCACCGATTCCTAAAGTTTAATAGAACATGGAGAATCGGTGGCGTTGACAAAGTGGCGTATAAGTACAATTTTTGACGAAAACTTATTTGAAATCATTTTCAAGGAAATTCTTAGGATAAACGTTGCTAAATTAAAAGCACGGATAGCTATTAATATAAGTATTCTTAAAGTATCAGCCATGTCTCAAAAACTGACATACTTTTTGCTACTACGATAGTTAAAGTGCACCTCTACCTCGGCGGATAGAAGTTTTTGTGTAATTTTACTACCTTTTTCAGATTTCATTCGAAATATATTTTTTGTTTATTATCTGACTTGAAATAATCATAATGTCCACTTGAGTCACTTTGTTGCTTAATCTGATTTGGAAAAAAATAAAAAAAATATTAAACTGTCATCTTTTTACCGTGGCGTTTAGCCGGAATTTATGTGAAATATTGGAGTTTTTAATCTTAAATAATGCCGTAAGTACCCTTTTATCTTTGCTATTTTATATATCCAGATAATTGTGATAATACAGGCTTTCATATTTTCAAAAGATTATCACGAGCAAAATGATCTGAAAATTATAAACTTAACCTGAAGATTTGTTGATAGAAAAAAATAAACATTCGGCGGATTTCAATGGCGTATAATTAATAGTTAAATAATAAATTGTTATTGATAAATTACGTCGCGTTATTAATTAAATAACCCATTTCAATAGTTAAAATCAAGTAAACATGTAAGTTAGCACAAGATTCATGTATTTTGTGACGGGTATTGTTCATTGTTTACCGATTAATCCAAAGCCGTCATCGAAAATCCGATATCTATAATACTTTTCAAAATACTGACCGCGGAGAAAACAGATTTCAAAATCAGCAAAAAATGGCGGCCTGACCCTGATAATAATATATTAGATATTATTATCACCGTTGTCGTTTATTATTCTAAAAAATATATGACTTTTTTAACGAAATAAACCCATATCCAACCATAACAACAAGTTCAAAACTTAAATACAGCAATCATTTACCTAATATTTGGCCCCAATTATTCACATTTAAATTTAGAGAGACCTTCGGTCCTTCTTAAATTTCGTGTGAGATTACTAATTTTACAGAAAATATGACATTTAGAACGCGTTTCAGAATACCATATAATCATCTAAATCTAAGTTGAATAACATAGCGACGTCTATTTTAAATTTAGAGATTGTAATCATTACAGAATACCAAATTGAATTTGACAACTCTATATCAAATTTTAGTTTATAGTTTATGATTTAAGTTGGCACACTAGGATTGGGCCCACTGTTGTCAAATTTAATTTTTGAAGTTATACTTCTTTAGGCGCGTTATGAAAAAATGATGAGAGTGAAATTTTAAGATGCGCGCGCATCACTGTAACACAAAAATTAACAGAGCGACCAACTTCATGCTGTTACTTTTGTGTTTACCGCACATTAAGAAAATCTACCAACAAAATAGAAATAGAATCTCTATTTAGTGGGTGCTAACGAACGACTGCATTGTGAAGGCCTATCAAAAGTATTTATTAATCTGGAACAACGGAACCAAAGCGCGATTCAGGAGACTACAGCGCCATCTCTTGACCATTGGTGTAGTATAACCAAAAACCACATCTTTATTTTTTGTAATAAAGTAACAGTTATAGGTATTCATATTTATAATATCAAAAGTATTTATTAATCTGGAACAACGGAACCAAAGTGCGATTCAGGAGACTACAGCGCCATCTCTTGACCATTGGTGTAGTAGAACCAAAAACCACATCTTTATTTTTTGTATTAAAGTAACAGTTATAGGTATTCATATTTATAATATTTATCCACATGTTTCTAGTTTGTATATTCAGAATACGTGTTTGAGTTTCATACAAGTGCAAATCACATATGTTCTAATAAATTATATTCAGTAGCGATTTTAATTGAATATTTTGATTATTTATTTATTTTTTCAAATTAAAACTGAACTTTATTGACTGTGTCCTTTTCCAGACTTTTTATTAATTTATTGTAATTAATTATTTGCATGCAATTAAAAACTAATTTTAAACGATGCCAAAGAAGGATAACTTCTCACGCGCCTACATAAGTACACGCACCCATTTTTTTTAGTTTAGAGAAACATGTCGGAATCGATAGCACTATATAGATAAAGTTTGAGCCGCGAGTGCCGTATCTTTCCTTTTTGTTTTAATCTAAGGTTTTGGCATTTGTTTTTCAAGAGCTACAAAATTAAAACTTTGATCCCCTGATTAATAAACGAAAAATAAGCTTAGACTAGTTAAGCCGTGTTTCGTTCATATCACTGTCATTTGCCATTCGATGAACAACATGTAGTAACTAATCCAAGCTTATTCTTCGTTTATTAATAAAAGGGTATAAGTTTAACAAATTCACTATTGACAGCAGATTCTGGGAATTTTGATTATCCGGTATAATCCAAACCGAAGTAGGTAATAAGGATTCAAATAAACGAAGCGCTTCGACAAAAGGTAGAGAGTGGCATTGCGTTTCGCTTAGCTGGTCTTGGCGAATTGGCAGGGGCACGTGATGTGCCCCCAGATAAGTCATCATTCAGCCATATGACCGTATGGCTGAATGGTGACTTAGAGCATACTCTAAGAATGATGATGATGATAGAATATGACAGATATAAAAGTTACGCAGTGACATTCTTAATAGTTAGAAATAATATCAAAGTATCAAAACTTTACGGAATTAGCACGTAAAAAAATAATGCAATTTATTTTAACAATATCAAATTTATTATTGACTTAATTTCTTGGTAAATACTGATATCATATTCGAACCTCATTCGATTTCTCGATTAGTGTGCACCTATATTTAAAAACGTCTCCCATAAATATCGATTGAGATTCAAAGCTGAACATCAGTATTTATTGATTAATAAATTAAATAAATAAATAATTTAATTCTTATCTAGAATAAATACGGTACAAAATTATCAAATGACTGTAGGTAATCTTACAAAATAATCGATATTGGACGCTTGTGACCAAGGTATGTTTTGGTGGTTGGCGCCCAGCAACTATGCATATCACAGGTATAATGGCGCACGAGCGCAGCATGCTACTTGAACAGCTGCTTTGCGTAGTGCCATATTCGGAAGAAGTACTCGTCACGCCTTAATAGTGAGCCACGAGCATATGACCGGATGTCAGCGTCCATGTTGTGGTCACGTAGCCAAGATGTAGTGGTCTGCGTGCTGAATGACGTTGGCTCCGTCACTTCTGTATGCTCGCCCAGCTCCTCGTCCGCATGCGAGTCTGCAACACGAATACAACCATGAACGAAATGGCTTCACGGGACCAACGCAAAATAAGGATCCGTGCAGGTGGACTAAATGTCTTATGTTTCTTCCATCTAGATATAATTTCAAGGTTTATCTAAGTATTGATTATAAAAATATTATCATAAAAATCTATGAAACTGCCTCGGAAATACAAGTCAGTAACGAAAGACGCTTACGTTATGTGAATCAAATAAAAAAATAACAAAATAAATTTATGTAGGTATTGGAAGACAAAAGGCATTGCTTATTATTATTCCGTGCATAAATTATACGTCCGCGAATTGTTTAAAGAACCCATAGCCGCATAACATGAAGTTGATGCATCTCTTTTTAACCAAAATTAGATTTAGTGCTTCCATACATAACTACGAATTGCTAATATCTGTGAGCTTGCACGGAAGAACTTCCGATATTCGCATCGCACATTCCTGCGATATAACGGCACACTTGGTGACGCCATTTAGGCAAAGATTTGGGGTGTATTCCGTAATATATACCAGTATACTGGCCAGTGTTAATGACGTCATGAATCGACGCTATTACTGGTGAATTGTTCCGAAATATATTGGCCAGGGCACTGACGTCATAAATCGACGAAATATTAAAAATAGTGCGAATAAAGAAGATTTATTATTCACCTCATCAATTAAAAGGAATTCTTTTCGTTCAGATGCCATTATTGTTCTTTATATAAAAAAGAAATAAAATTCGAATGCATCTCATGCACGCTCGATCATGCGTCATATTCGTTTTCGTGGTAAAAATACGGTAGCATACCAGTACAAAATGGCGTCGGATTCGTGACGTCATTACCACTGGCCAGTATACTGATGTATATTTCGGAATACACCCTTGAGCCCTTACCATAGTTTGGCTGCACCGAAATCTGTCAGTATTCGAATGAGCTGACTCCCATAACATCATGTCTTGTCTAATCAGTGTTCATCTGAACATAGTGACAGTTTGACGTTGGTGGTTAAAATACCACAGGCATTTTTGCAAGAAAAGTGTATTAAAATGCCGTCGTGTGCCTTCCGTAAGTGCACTAACAATTTGAGAAATACTAATAATGCTTATGGTGTAACATTTCATATGCAAGTTTATAGATTTCATTATTTATTTTCTTTCGTTGTCATAAATAATGAAATCTACCCCTGCTATGAGTTTTATTACTTTTCATGTATATCATGTATAAACGGAGCTTATTGTTTGGCAGGGTTGCCATGTATTTGCCTATATTTTAATAGTTATTCTGCTATTCGGAGTGGAGAGGATTCAAAAAAATTATAATTTTCATAATAATCGGTCCAGCCTTTGACTTTGTTTTATAAGAAGATTATCCAAATAAACTATTGAACTTTTTGTGTTTGTTTTATTTAGCTTGTGAAGTCCAAAATTTAATTAAGCTAGATATTAAAGATAGCCACATTTATCAAACCACATTAACGGCGGTACGCAGTTCGCCGGGTCAGCTAGTGATAATATGATTGCAATGTACTTATTCACCACATAACAAATCATTTGTATTTTTCTAAATTCGAAATGTATAAGTAATAAATAAATCAAAATTTATGTAGACATTTATATTTTTCATTTGATTTAATCCTTTTGATCAGCTTCTGTTTGCAATATTGGTTAAAATACCAAAATATATATCTAGATGAAACTCGCATTTAATAGCATTACTTTAATAGTCAATGTCAATTTGACATTATTGTATGGGCCAAATCCAAATCTAGTTGAAGTGAAACTTCTTTTCGAACGGGATGTAAATCGAAAAATCCTATGGAAAAGATGAAACGGAAATGCGGATGCGTCCGCCGACGTGTTCTTATTCTGACGTTTCAATTTTGAAATAATGTACGAAGCTTATGTCAAAGTTGACATTTATTGCTCCTGAGCGTAGTTTTGGAACGTAGCCCTTTAGTTGATTTGATTCTATGGCATATTAGACTGAAAATATCATACGTAGTATCTCTAACTAGTCTGTGAAAATATCTAAGTCTAGCTTTATGGTGGTTGAGTGCGCGCCAAAATATGACAGTACACTTAATTTTATTAAAAAATTGTTTCTTGAAAAATAATGAATAAATGATAAGTTATTTATAGTAAGTGATGTTGTTTGTGTTACGATAAGCTCATTAAGGCCGTGATAAGTTCATCAACATCGCATGAGCCGTAAGTTATTTTTAGGTTATCTGTTTATTTACTTCATCTCTGCTCCTGCGGATGTTTACAATGTTGTAGTCGATTCAAATCTTGATTGTTAATAGTATAACTTGATACGTGCACTTATCTAATTGTATCATTAAACCGATACTATAGTCAATAGATTTTGAGGTTTTTATGTCTTTTCCTCTTGTCAATGAAAGCATCAAATTTTGTATATACATTTATCCATTTTTTTGTGCGTTGGTTTTTTTTTGGTCATTACAAGTTATACAAACGGACATGTCATGCTCAGGTTGCATAGGGGGAAGAGCCGGGCTCGTGTTGATCCAGCAAATCTAAATAAGTAGTTTATTCTCATCGATAGTGTAAATTCAAGTTTACGACAAAAGTTGGAAGCTTCTTTAGTAGTGCTCTACGGCAATGACCAATGAGAAGTTTTCAAAAAATATTTAGTATATCGAGCTGTTCCTTGCTTTTCTTTAATTCGTTGGTCATGGCGGCTACATCTAGGGTCGATAGCGCCCACAAAGTCATTTCGGTTCACGGTCGTTCTCCATTTATGATCATAACGCTTGTGCACCAGGTGTAGGTACTATAATGGGCAAAAGATGTAGTAGGGCTTACCTTCGCCAGGCACAACTTTGAAGGGCTCGTCAGATTCCAGCGGCTCGCTGAGGCCGATCTCGTTGCGCGCGTAAATCCTGACCATGTACGTGTGGTCCTCGCTGAGGTCGCGGACGGCAAACTTGAGGGTGTGAGCGTCCACTGTGCCGACCTCCATCCACATGGTCTTGGTGACGTCACGGATAGCCACGTTGTAGCCCAGTAGAGGAGCACCGCCGTCCCATTCGGGCGTGCCCCATGATGTCATCACGATATTATTGCCTACTGTCCTAATTTCTAGTGGTGCCGTCGGCGGCGATGGTACATCTGCAATAATAGACAAATGTCAGTCAAGAACTCGTTGGTAAATTGATAGCGGATTTTTAGTTACATCTCTCAAAGACCATAGGATTGGATTGAATGTGGAATCAGCATCAGATGCATTTAACAGCCGCAATGGGAGACGTCAATAAGGTTTTAAGTATTTTGACCGCAAAGTAGCCGACATCATATAATGATGAACAGCTATTGTTTATAATGGTTGAACCCACAAGCTAGTGCTACAACCACATACTCTCAGTGCAGACCTTAAAATGATTGATCTAAAATCTGATCAATAAAAGTATCGTACAACATTACAGCTAGTACAGCTAGCCATTGCTAGCTGACTCGAATGCCGTTTGCGCAAGATATTAAATTTTTAAAATTAATTTAAACATTTATTATCTTTTCCGTGATTCAAAAGATGCGTGCTTAGTCGTTGGGCTCCTAGTCAGTAGACCGTTTTTCTAATTGGGTTCTGTTCTTAAGGAAGGCTTTCCACCCACCATCTGAGATGGATATTCTTAAGAGCTATGGTTATTTAACATAGGGATCGTCATCTTGAAATATTTAAAACCTAAGCCTAATTTTAAATGAGTATATGATGGTGCTACGTGACTATCCTGTTCACGGCACCGGATTCAAAACATATATCTTCCTCTTGACTTAGAATCGTGAAAAATTGCAAGAAGCAATGCAGCACTGGCTTCGATCAACAATTTATTCCGTATCCGTTGATCGAAAAGTATGGGCAGCGAAATAATGAAAAAACCGGGAACGTACCTTCGTTTCCTGCAATGATCGAAATATTTATTCATATTATAAATATGGTGGCTAACAATTTTGCGGAAGATATATCCTATCATTAACTTAAGCGGCAAATATCCATGTTGAAATCTCCTGCGGCGAAAAAGGCGTCACGTCTTTCTCAGGTAAATAAAAGGTGTCGGCGTCGAATACAGTAGGTATTTAGGTTCCGCTGTAGCAGTTGAACTTACTGGCATGTTTCTCTAAGCGCACTGTTTGCGAAAGCGCGGGCAAGCTGACTCCCACCGCATTCTCCGCGGACACCCTGAAGACCAGATCGTCCTTCTCTCTGATGTTCTCGACGCGGTAGTCACGAGTGGCGCCGCCGACTGTCACCACCTTCGTCCACTTCTTGCCTTTCACAGTCTTATATTCGACCACGTAATCTATAAATGAAAGACTAGTGAGTTGCAGAGTTGTGATTGTGATTAGCTTAGAGCAGAGCAATATTAATCTCTTAGAGCAATATATCCGGGTCTCTTAAACTGATCAACGCAGCCATACGAAGGTTATTGTAAAATTAGTAATTAAAAGGTGACAAATCAATTTGGTCCCAAAAATTTTATAATATATTCATCAACAAGTCTACGAAGCATTTGAACGCTTTTGAAGTTTTTAACGATTTATATTATTGTAATTATATTTGTACCATACTATTATAAACAAAACCGAAACTTTCTATTTTTAAAATCAGCTAATTATGTTCCGAGATCTTAATATACTTATATAGTTACCTATCATATTGCGAAGAAAAAAAATAACAATTAATATAATCTACAGTTTCTGTAAATGTTGCGTATTGTGCTTAGACATTTTTGATGTGTGTATTTTAGATTAAAACAAAAAGGGTAGATACGGTACGCTCATACTAGCATCAAATAAAATATGATCCGACTCAACTACTTAAGCAACTCTCGCTACGCACATGTTTGTATATGTTATGGGCTAAGTGATTAATCGGGCATTAAACATAATGCCCGGGCAATTTGAATAATACTCAATAAGCGCGGGCAATGTGATTATAACCAATCAATTTATCACATTGCCCAGGCATTATGAATAATGCCAAGTGCCTATTGGGCAGAGTGATGTAAAGCATGTTTAATACTTTCAAATGAATACTTACTTAGTTAGATAGACCGAGCATTGCAAGTAATGAAATGAATTATCGGGTAGAGTAATTATAAAAACATGTTTTAGATTTTAGTATTTATTTTTAAAATTTAACTAATCAGACTTTGGTTTTACTTAGATCAATTTACGAAGGGATACATTTAGAATCTATAGTCTATAGTAGTTTCAATGCAGTTTGTTTGAAAAATTCATTAAATCTGTTAAATGTTCAGAATTTATGGTTCCCTATTTTTTAGGATGCAAGGACTAGGGAAGTAAGAACTAGTACTTCTGCCTTATCTCCGGCGCTGAGGGCATAGTAGCTCCTCCGCCTAAAAAACACTCTAGGGGTAGGGCAGACCAAGACCACGGCGTGTCGGGGTTGACCAAGTCGGTTCTGAATTAAAGAATGTTGTAAAGCCACATTTACTTTTTTTTCCAAGTGTTGAGCCCATACTATTTTTTATTTACCAAGATCTCAAAACAAACACAAAATGGCGAGACATCTGTCATTTTGACAATAGTACCAACTTTTTGAATTTATTCATACTGCCCGGTCCAAGCGATAAATTCAAGCCTTCCGGCATTATTAATAATGACCGGGCAATGTGATAAATAGGTGAGTTTAGATTGTAATTAATCACTTGGCCCGATATGGCGGGGCATTATTCATACTGCCCTAGCTTTATGAATACTGCCCGCATTAATCACTTGGCACATAACATATATAAACATCAATCGAGCGAGCGAGACAGAACTATACGCTTCAACGCAGCGTATTGTTGTCCTTTTCTTGCTTACAAAATGGCGATTATGTAAATAATATTCACGGCAAAAGGTGATTTTTGAGAAAAAAATGTTTTCACAGTTTTACGAATGAAAAGTGTTGCCGGGGCATTTGATTTTGAACTATTTGTGTTCTTTATAAAGGCATCGAAGGCATTGTTATATCTTCATAACACAGAATATACGCAATATTGTAGCTCGACAAAGTGAATAAAAAATCATTATTCTGATGATGCAGACCTGAAAAGGCTGCGAAACGCCAATAAATAAATAAAGTTTATGCATAAACCCGTTAAAACTAGTTTTATTTAGTGAGTGATGTGCGTGAAAACCTAAGAAACAAATAAGTATAATAATTTAAATAATGGATAAAATATTAACATATATTGTAACAACTTCTAAATTGTAACTTTTGATTATTTACTCCCTAGGTAGAGCGTGGCAGCGCAGATGCGTTGAAAAAATATCTCCCGCCCGGTGGGGTTTAAGTCCTTTTCCGTCACTTACCCTTTTATTAATGAACGAAGACTAAGCTTGGATTACTTATTCTATGTTTTGTCTCTCTTTATTGAATGACAAATGGCACTTGAGTGATATGAAAAAAACACGGTGTAACTAGTCTATTGTAAGCTTATTCCTCGTTTATTAATAAGGGGGTTAGTGTTCAATGCAACACTGAGTAATATGCACGTCAATCACCGATTTTCGTGTAGAAATTATTGCTTAAAAATGTCCAGTTGCGCGATAAAAGTTTGCCGAAATTATAAAGGACGCATAAAAACCAACCAACAAAGTGACTTACCACCGATAAGTAACTCATTATTCACCTTAAACAAAAAATCTGTAACATCATATTAATTAAAAAAATTACGACTCCATCTTGACATTTTCAATGTGATGTCAATGTCTCATTACAAAATTCCCCCAAAAAGTAAGTCTGGCGTAATCAAAATATTTACCGATTGCAGCTATGCTAGCGATGACGAAAAGTTTTTTTATATCCATATAAATTAAATCCTCTCGAAAACTGGACGAAATATCAAAAAATTAAATGATTTTTGTAAAACTATACATACATACTTATACACATCAAAAAAGTTTTCGATCACTTTGAAAAATAGATTGTTTTTTGTGTTACCTTCTGTAACACGAAGCCAGAGGCCAGAGGAGGAGTTATTTTGTATTAGATAAACAACAATTTATTAATAAAAGGTTTTTAAGTTTAGTTAAACTATCTTTTTATTTCTATCTATGTTCTATTATAATCGTCTCAGGATTGAATTATTAATTTTTTTATACTAAAATATAAAATTTATTTTATTTTTTAATTTCAGAAAGTGTATTTTTAAATAATAAAAGATAAAACGTAAACATTTTCTTTTGATAAGTTAAATTTTAAAAATATATCAGCTTTTGCAAACCTTTTTTTGATGAGTGTAATGTAATTTATGTAACTAAGACATACTATATAACTAAGACTGAGTACATTTACCGATGAAACGGAATGAGAAAGATATAGAACAGAGACCTTTAATCCTTTTCTAATAGAAAGCCCATAGCTTATTTTTAAATATAATTTAAAATACAAAAGCTTTATTGTATCTTCACTGTTTTGTGAAAGTTATGGAGTTCAAAAACTCACCTGCTTCATATTGCCATATCAATTCATACATACTAACATGACAAAAATGATTCTTATTCACCTATCTATCATTTCATTATTTTAAAGGAGTATTCAAAATGGTTCATAATCCACACCAAATATTGAACCGATTATAGGACAAGGCCAATTTTCAGTACTTTCATTTTTAATAGTACTCGGTTTCGTTTATATTCTATGATCATTTTCGTAGCACAGTTATATCTAATTGTTAGAACTAAAGTAATACACAAAAGAAATATATCGCGTCTTCACCCCTGAAATTGAAAATTATACATAATTCCAAAATACATATGAATTTATTTTTGATTAGCTACTGAGATGTGACAAAGGAAGGACAAAACAATCCGTTGTTTGTTTTCTGTTTATAAAGTTCATTATTTTCAGACTACATAACGATCCCATAATGAAAAGTCGGTGGGTGTAAGAAGAAGTCGTGGAGAAGATTTCTGGCAACCAGCAAAAACTACGGTTATATACTCAGATCATTTTAATAAAATAATTGTAAAACAAAAGTATTGCGTCACGAGGAATCTATTGTATAATATGTCAAATTTTAAAGATAAATAATATTAAACTATTCAGTAGTTTAGGCCTTAGTCATCATAATATGAAAAAAGGTCCATTTTGTTGTTTGTTTCTGTAAACTAAATAAAAATTTGTAACACATTTTATTTTCAATTATACAAGTATAAATTTATACTTTTACAGATGATTCAACGTCCATGATTTGTAATTGTGTGAAAATATATTAATTTTGATTTGATTAAGTTTTCCCCTTGTTTTGGGAATGTGGCCTCGCCTGGTATCTTGCGCATGCGCACCGGGACCAAAATAATGACATTTCGCGAGTGTAAGATACAAGATTCGCGTGTTTTGTTTATTTGTCACGCACACAAGTATATAAAACCTGGTCAGTTTTTATCGTAGTGTTTACTAGCTGACGCTCTATCTTCGGAGTAAATAATCAAATATTGTAACATATATTGTACGAACATGGCTGTATGGCTAACACACCGGATTTCATAGTGATTATCGCTTCGACGTTTTTGGTCAATCCCCAATCTTATACAACGAAGAAAAACATACTTTTCTTCGTTGGTGTTATAAGTCTGGGTGTGTGTGGTACCTTCGATGTATCCATACGTGCTTCAGTGATTTTTGTACCTTAAGGTATGTTGTGTCGTAAATTATGTGATATTGTTTGACATTCATTTGTTTATTGTACAAATGCGCATTGAATTATGAAATCTATAAAGTAGCATCATATTTTTTAACTCGGAACCTTAGATGTAGATATGGTACAAAGATATTAAACTATTCAGCACGATAAAAAGAATATGGCGCTTATGAAGCTAGTAGCCAGCGCAACGACGGATTACTGCGGGTGGCCCCGATTTGTGCTCACTTCACATTCGCCATTTTATCGCGCATTTCTTAAAGATCAATTAATTATATTTAAAAAATATACGTACTTGTGACGGGGCTGCCTCCATCACTCTCTGGGGGGGCCCACTGTAGGGCTACCGTGCGAGATGTTATCTCTCGCACCACGAAGTTGAGAGGCTGTGATGGTGGCGCTGAAATAACACCATTCACATTACATATAAAGTCTCATTATGATACTTACTTACAAGGTATTACATATTGCTTCGCATTAAATTTCATGGTGAAAATTTCTACGCATTATCAAAGATATAACCAGTACTATGTATATTGAAATGAAGTTATTTAGGGACGGTATGGCGGCTAGGGGAAAAGAAATGTAAGATTTTTCCGTCACAACCTAGCTAGGCAGCTAGCTAGTCAGCTGGGTGGGCGACCACTGACAGCGGTGCACCCCTCCACAGCCTATGAATCCGGAGCCAATAGCGGCAAAGTTGCTATCGTCGTCAAATGTACATCCACCTTTTTTACTATTTGCTCGGGAAAGAGAATAGCTACCGCATATTTTTCTTTTCAGAATGAGATTTAGGGTTTCTAGATAGAAGAACTACTTTTGAACTTACACAACGTCTTTCCAATTGTGATCTTCTCTTCTGAGATATACGGATGGCTTGTGCCTATTTCGTTCCTTGCGCATATCCTGAATTGGTATGTGGCGTCTTTACTGAGTTTTTCTATCCTGGCGTTTGTTTCTGTCACTGTGGCGACTTGTTTCCACTTCTTGCCCTCCTGTTTTACCTCCACGCTGTAGTCCAGAATGGGAGATCCTCCGTTTCTCTCTGAGGGGTACCAGGTTACGGTAACCGAGTTGCTGTCGATGCCATACAGACCCAGCGGGCCGAGAGGCGGTGATGGCACGTCTGAAATTGGGTTGTAGATATACAAATCGGTATAAACACATTTAAGTGTGTTTGAGCCATGTCAAAATGTTCATGGTATTTTATACGTCAATCGTCATACATTATCAGTTTATGGATGAATTATTAGTTTGAACTGCAGCGCACCACGCGACCAATATAGTATTATGTTCAGGGTGGTTTTGGAATTGGACTTCTTTTTCTTACTGCGTTTTGGGACTGTTTGCAAAGGCAGGAGTCTGTGGATAGCTTTCACATAGTCACACACACGGATGCTGACCAGCCTCGACAGTAGTCCGAAGATATTCGTAGAGAGATTTAACTCTCAATATATGAATAATTGTTACAGTACATATTACTGAATGTGTAAAGCTTTTTTAATTTAAGTTTTGATTAGTTGTGAAATGTATATCTATTTTTTTTTATTATTCTGGTTATTAATTGACATGTAATTTATTGACCACTGCTATTGTCTATACCTTCATTATACGAAATCCGCAATGGAATTATAATAAAAAAGAGTTTTTGTAATCCTTTAGTAGTTATTTTTGTGTGATTTGAACACAATGAACGCACTAAATGGTAGTGATAAGTTATTATTACAAAAATTAAAAATTACTTACCGAGCGCAGTCTTTATTACTATCGGTTCGCTTTCAAGCGCTTCCGAGTATCCTATTGGGTTCTGTGCCATTATTCTGAACATGTACTCGCAGTTCTCGTTCAATCTCTGTATACAGTAGGTTTCCACTGTCTTGTCCACGTCTGCTACCTTTACCCACTGATCGATCTCGGGCTCATGTTTTTCTATAGCGTACTTCGTCAACTCCAAGCCACCGTCGTCGAGCGGTGGCTTCCATTCTATTGTGACCGATTCCCTACTGATTTCTCTCATTATGACAGGCCCTTCAGGCCTGCTTGGTTTGTCTGAAAAGCGAGAAACTTGTGTATTGAATTGAAATATAATTGATATGTTCATTGTATCATACTGGATAAGACTTAGGTTAACTAATAAAAACTAACTAAGATAACTTAGGTTATTTTCATATTTGGGCATAATACATTCGGAAGGAATTTTTCCGAGTACTTTATTTTCCTTTTGACGAATTGTATCCACCGGTCCACCCATACATGCATTTCATTTCATTTAACAACAGATATAAAAATAAGGTAATTTGTAAATTAGTGCGTGTCTGGGACTTCTCATTGGGTTGTTATTTGATTATATTATTTATGGTTTTGGTGATCTGTTTAGCACTTAACTCGTTATTCCCCTGTAAAATTTTCCTTTAGATTGCTTGGAGTAAAACATGTTGTGAACTGCCCCACGCGAATAGAGTGGACGTGACAGTATATTTGTTGTTGAAACCAGTTTTTGGATATAACATTCTAAATAATGCATTACATTTCCAATGTACAAAAACGCATAAAGTTCCTCGAAAATTTAAGATCGCAATCGGCTCGCATAGTGAGTAAAGGCTAGTGCCTCGACGAATCTTAGTCATAGTAATCTGCACACTTATATACCTAGTTACTAACTTCCTAGAGTAGGATACGACACGACAGACTTCACGAAAAATAAACTTTAAGATTGCAGGTACATTACATACATCCCTATGAGAGCCTTTTCATAGGGAAGCCGTTGCATCAGCAGTGTGAGTGAACTAGGGTAATTTATTTATTTTTAATGACTAAGATTCTAATAGTGTTTCAATTGGTTTTACATTGTGCTTACGACATCGTTTGCATGGACGTCGGAAAATAGACTCACCCCACCCTTAGCACCTAGGGGCATATGAAATAGTTTACGACAATAGGTCGTAATTCATGCGTGAATTCTTTATGTATATTAATTATTTGACATAAAAAAGTTTATAAAATGGTGAAACCATATCGGAGGAGTTCGTTAACAAACACTGTTACACGAGAATTTATATACCCATTATATTTTTAAAATTTTTTATGAGTATGGCCCGTGACTGGTTCCTATAAATTTAAAAATATAATATTAGCTCTAAACTCCGTTCAGCCGGTTACAATAAGTAATGATGTGTATGGTATGTTGTTTTATTTTTATTTTACTCGTTTTAAAGAAATATATAACAGTATTCATAAATACAGGCCTTGCCTAGTTCAGCAGCAGAAGCTATTAAATTATTATCCTTGTAATGCTAGTGCTAAGTTTGTTACGAAATCAAATTGTATTGTTTATTTTTTGTCAATCAAATATATTATTATACTTATTGTAATCAATCGCATTTAAAAACCACAGAGGTTTGTATGTATGTGTTGTACGCCTGCACGATCATTTTTAATAGGTATGAATGTACATTTAAAATAGACAAATCAGATTAGGATTGATTAAGTATGTATATCTTACCGTATACTCTTAGAGTCAGTTCAACGGTGCTGGTGCCAGCTTTGTTTTGAGCTTCGATAGAATACTTATTTGTGTGTGAACGCTCCAGATCCGAAATTCTTATCGTGTTGTACTCTTCTTCAGTTGTTATCTGTATTTTTTTTGACTTTTCTAACTTGGAACCATTTCTGTACCATGTTAGAGATGGCTTAGGAATGCCTTGTATGCTAGCAGTTACCGACCACTCTTCACCCACACGTAACTTCTGATTGATTTCCTTTTCAGAAATATTTATGATAGGTTTCAATTGTACTTCAAAAGTGCAAGAAGTTTCAGCTTCTCCTTGTTCATTAGTAGCAACGCATTTATATATTCCTTCTGTAGTTTCTGAAGCATTTACAACGAGAGTAGCTACTCTATTCACATATGATGCTTTGGCTGTTTTCAGCGAATTTCCATTTCGGAACCATGTTACTTTGGGTTGTGGAATGCCACCAAATATACATGTTAATTCCACATCTTCATTTGGAACACTGATAACATCCTTTAATGGTTTTTCAACCGTGGGCGCTTGTGATTTTGATTTTTTTTCGATCCTAACATATTCTGTGATATCTGAAGCTTCGCTGACGCCTACTTCGTTAACTGCGAAGACACGGAATCGGTACGAAGACTTGTTCTTCAACTTTTCGATTGTGTGTTGTGTTGTAGTAACATTTTCTATAGATATCCATCTTAAAATAAAGTTTAAATTTAGTTGTGCAGTTTGAACAAATATAGAAAGATAGTAAATTGCGTTAATTTAAATTTTACATGATGCTTGCAATACGTTTTTAAAATCAAATTTAAGCTATAAAAATCCTGTTTAAAAGATCACTGCATCTTTGTCAATCTTTTAAAATCTTAGAAATAGAATGAAATTGAAACATCATATTGTTTTATATTTAATTTAAGAGCATTGGTTTCCTTGGGCTTTAATATTTCGCAACCTTGTTAGGTTGGTGGTCAAGTAGATAAGTAATTACATAAAATTTAATCAAATTCATTTATTCTAAAGTATACTTACTCAGTCATATTAATTTCTTGGTATTCTATAATATAACATTGTATTTCAGATCCTCCGTTATTTTCAGGTTCATTCCAACATATGTTCACCGAAGTATCAGACGTTTCTATCAAGTTTGGTACACCTGGCTTTGACGGTAAGTCTGGATAATAAAATAATCTTTGATTAATTCTAAAGTTCAAGTATTAATCACTATAAGATAATTACTTGAAACTTCACTTACCCAGGACAATAACAGAAATTTCGACTTCTACGTCGCCACAGTTATTTTCTAACTTAAGCTTATAGACTCCTGCATCAGTGTGCTCCAGTTTCTTGATGGTTAAACTAGCATTTTTAGAATCTATCGATGGCTTTGTATGCTTAGTTTTCTTGATAATTTTAGAATTTACCACCCATTCGTCGTTTGGTTGAGGTATAGCTTCGTAATCAACCAGTAGAGTTACATCATTACCTCGTTTGACACGGTATTCCTTGTCATATGATATAATTCTTGGCGGCGACTCTAAGACTGTAAAATTGTTGAAACATACTATATTTTTATTGTTTTGCATTAGAAATGGCAAAGACTATGATAAAATGAGTATGTTTGGTTGAAAATATTATAAATTATCAGAAGCATTAAGTTTTAGCTTGGGTGTAACAGAGACAACAAGTATAAACAACAATTTCAATTTAGATTATTATATATTAATTCACTTATACCACATAAGTGAATTAATACTAAGTAGGTTAGATCAAAATGCACATTCTATATGTTTACCTTCAACTATCAGTTTTGTGGAACACCTTGCATCTAATAACATACATGAATATTCGGTCTGGTCCTCTTCAGTGCATTTGCGTATAATTAAAGTACGTTTATTTACATCTGAAATGAGTGTGTATTTGTCTGTATCTTCGACAACTAATTTCTTTTTGAACCAAGTTACATCTAGTGTTTCATCAGGTATTTCAACAGTTAAGTAAGCATCGCTATTTGCCGGCACCACAATAACTTCTGGTAGCCTAAGAACGAAATCAATTGAAGGTTCTTCAACAACGAGTTTGGCAGTGCATCTGTCGCTTCCTACTTCACAAGAATATTCACCAGCATCGCTGTTTTCACAGTCATATATTTTTAGTTTCTGCTTCTTGCCATCTATAGTTAGTTGCATGTGATTAGAGAATTGAATTTCAGTTCCATCCTTAAACCAACGAACAAGTGCGTCACCTTTGGTTAATTCGATTTCAAATGTGGCTTTGTTTCCTTTACTAACTTTCTGGTCTTGAAGACGTGAAATTATTTCAGGTGGGAGTTCTACTACAGTCACTTCGGCAGTACAAGCATCATCTCTTAGTATACACGTATACTCGCCTTCATCGTGTACTGATGTATTTCTTATAAATAGTTTACGTACATTTCCACGTTTTTCGATATCGTATTTATTTTTCTTTGGTTTAATTCTTTCACTATCTTTTTCCCAGAATACATCTGCTGTCTCTGAATTTATTTCTACTTCTAGAATAGCGACATCTCTTTCCTTTACTTCAAAATCTTGTAATTTCCTAGTGAATTCAGGTATAGTTTCATGAACAATCAGCTTAGTGCTAGTTTCTTGATCTTTCACAGCGCATTTTATGTTACCCACGTCAGTCAGTTTTGTTTTCTTTATTCTTAATTTATGTACTCGTCCTTCCTGTATTATTTCCCTGTGGTCCATGCCACTAAGCTCTTTATTATTATGATACCATTTTGTAGAAACTGTGTGGGATGTATGACATTCAAGCACAACTGTTTTACCTTCTTCTATTTCGTAAGATTTCCTCAAATTTTTAATGAATGTTACCTTATCTACATCAATAGTGACACGAGCTCCATGAGATGCTTTTCCTGCGCTATTAGAAGCAACACATTTGTAATCTCCAGAATCAATTTCAGAGTCGACATTTGTAATTATCAATTCAATGTTTTCTCCATCAAAGTTTTGTGTAACTGTCTCTGATGGTGTTATTATTTGATTGTTTCTATACCATGTTATTATTGGCACGGGATTACCCGTTACTCTAGCTACTAATTTTATTACACCTTTTTCTTTAACAGTTATTTCTTGAAATCTATTAATGAAAAGTGGGGGTTCAGCATTTTCTTCTGTAGGTTCTGAAAAGGAATATAAAAATTAGTAAATGTATAGTTGTTTTGACAGTAATAACCAAAACAAAACAATTTATTATTATTCGCATATATTTTACAGCATTAATGTTACAGCGATTTTGCACCGGAATACCAAATGTAAATGTGAAAGGCTTCAATTGTTTATTTCAATTAAAGTGTTTATGTATTTGATAGAGAAAGAAAGTATTATATTACCCTACCTTCTATTGTTATGACAGCAGATGTTTCCGTGGAACCTTCAGAATTCACAGCTTTAAGAGTATATATGCCATCGTCTTTGCCCTTCTTTGGTTTGAGTATCGTGATCGTATGAGTATCGCCGTCAGATTTTGTGGTTTGCTTTTTAATAGGTTCATTATTTTTATACCATGACACTTTTGGCTGAGGATTACCTACCACCTGTGCTGTTAACACAACGCTTTCACCTTCTCTTATAGTCATATTTTTCAAAGGTTCAATAACTTGTGGTTTTTCCTTTTGTCCAGTCTTTATTTTTAGTACTATTGGTAAACTTGCTTCACCTTCTCTATTTACAGCTAAAACAGTGTAAGTTCCTTCTTGGTATTTCTTTACGTTTGATATTTTTAATACACTGCAATACATGTGCATATCAGACTCGGTTACGATGGAAATATTCTCATCAGGAATGATTTCTTCTCCTTTGAAGAACCACGCTATATCAGGTTCAGGTATAGCAACCAGACGACATTCCAAAAATATCTGAGTGCCTTCATCTACGTACTGAGCTTTCGGTCTTTTTGAGAAGGTAGGTGGAATACCTTCCAGTATGTCCGCCAAAGATGACTCTCGTGAAAGACTTTTTCTTGATAATATAGTCATTTCAGAGCCATGATCAGATAGTGGTGCTTCAACAACTAGCTCTGTAGTACTGGATGCAAAACCAGCAGCATTTTTAGCTACGCAAGTGAACGTTCCAGCATCTTCGGGGAAAACTTCGCGAATCACTAGAGTAGCCACGTTGTCATCGTCGTAATACATCTGGAAGTCTTGTGATGGTTTAATTATAGCTGTTTGTCTGAACCAAGTTATTTGAGGGCGAGGATGACCTTCCACTTGACATTCGAATTGGACAGTGGAGCCGTCTGGTGTGTGTTTTGGTCGTAATTTCTCTACGAATATGGGAGCAACCGCTTGTTCTTCTGACGCCGGCTCTGTAACATTTGTGGTTAGATTTTTATTGGAGTTGTATGGGCAAAAGTATAGATAAATGCAAATTGAGTAATATACAAGCTAACAAAATTGATAATAAATATATAGTAATACTAGCTGCCTCAGCGAACTTCGTACCGCCATAAAAAAATAGGGGTTGGTGGTAGAAGGGCGAAAATTTGGGTTATATTTATTTTTGTATGATGTATCATAAAAAAATGAAAAAAATAATCTAAAATTGAAAAAAAAATAGGGGTGGATTACCCTTAACATTTAGAGTGATGAAAAATAGATGTTGTCCGATTCTCAGACCTACTGAATATGCATATAAAATTTCACGAAAATCGGTCGAGCCGTTTCGGAGGAGTTTAACCACAAACACCGCGACAAGAGAATTTTATATATTAGATGTTATTATAATTGTTGAAAAGAAAATGTTTATGTGGACACGAGATGTTTAAAGAATAAAGGGTAAATAGCAATGAAGAATACGCAGTAAAATTAGTATCGAAAATATTAAGTATAAAATGTACTTATGCTTATAAAAATATGTTTTGATCGCCACGTAACAACCGATAACCATTATGCGACAATACTTACTCTCAAACACGGGGAGTTTGTCAATCTTTTCGTTTAGTTTCTTTTGCAAGTATAATGTATAATTAGCTTCATCCATCAGATATTGAGCAGGTACCCAGCCTTTTTCTTCTGTGAGATGTTTTCGTACAAACCACCAGTCTTGATTTGTTGTTTCTAAACAAACAATTAGATGATGACTAATCAAAATTGCACTCCGTAAAGTTGTCTTTAAGGACACTTAGCTTCTCTACCATCCATGGGCTTCTAGGCCATGTGCATAGGACAAAAGCATAGGCGTAGAAAGTATCTAAATTAATCATATTGACTCCATCAAATGTCCCTAAGTATTTAAGAAATTTAACAGTAGGGCTTTCTTAAAAATGTTAACATTCAGTTAGTCACGGACATGTTGAATTGAATTGTAATTCAGCTTGAATGTGTAAATAGGTTACCTACACTATAATATGCGTTCCAGAGGTGGCAGATGGTATCGCAACTATGTACGAGTAATATGGGTTGTAGTTGTAGATCATCTGTCAACCTATCATAATACAATAGGCTAGTTGACCCTTTTTGGAAAAAGGTTTTAAATGGTTAATAAATGTTCTATTAGACCGAAAAAAATGTATTGTATTTTTTTGAGACCTAGAAAGCTACAAATCTTTAATTTTAAAATAGACTTTTCATGGACATACAAAAACGCTGCCGGCCATTTTAGTCTATAGATTATCTATGCTATGACGTTGACAGTAGTAAACAAAAACTCGTAAGCACGTAGAAAATAACCCATCTGAGTTTATAATAAAAAGAAAACATGATTCCTAATAGATACCACGAAAAATATAGTAATTATTATTATTGTATTGTACGAGAATGTAAAAAAAAATCTTTGAAGACTCCAGGAAAGTTGTGGATTAAAGTGCCGAAAGAAATTAACCTACGCAATATCTGGTTAGAACTTGCTTAAAGGGATCCTGCAACTTTAACGACTCATAGTAAAATTTATTTTTGCGAAGATCACTTTGATGTAAATACTCACTGAATAATATTTTAAGTCTCTTCATTTATTATCAGTTTTAATAATACAAGTTTTAAAGTTATGTATGAATGACATTTAGTTGTTTACTAAAACAGACGTCACAATCATGGCGGATGTGGCGAACAGCGTTTTTAGTGTATAAAAAGTATAGACTAAAAATTGTTTTTTTAAATTAAATTTCTACAGCAATCTTCTGCTTTTATGAAGTGAAATCGATATATTTAGGTTCCTTAGACAAAATACTTTAAGAAATAAACATTTATTTAATACTATTCGACATGAGTCAACTAGCCTATTGGTTTATGATATTGTTATTTTGAGCTTTTTGCTACACTTATAGTACAATTGAATAGGTAGTATGTCGCGATATGAATATGAATCTTATTGCAACCATTACGACGATGTACACTGGTTGTGTATAAATACTAGGGGCTTTGTCTTTAATAAACTAACGTCAGTTACCTACGTACTTTGTGCTTTTACTTTGTCAGTGGAATAAGTTAGTTAGTGGTATTCCATGTTATCCTTACGCTTTTAGTTTAGCATAGGATCTGATTATATTTAAGGCTACAATATTAGAAGGCAACTACATCTTAGTACACTCGAGAAAAAAATCACCGCATAACATATCTCCTGAAATATCACTTACCCAAGATGTAGAGGCGCTCGCCCTCTACAAGATTGATAGCCTCGTCAGTCTCGGCCACGTAGGAGTATACAGCAAATACAGTGTCCCCACTCCGAACATCCAGCGGCGTATCTTAAAATAACAATTTTGAATATTACACATTACACTTTTATGTTGTTCAGGATGCTTTTCTCACCATAATTAATCACTATTACCCGTTTTTTAATTGTCATCAATATTTATAATTAAAACGTTGATGAAGTTGGTGGTCGTGGTCTATCATTTTAGATGCTAGTCAAATATTCCAGAAAAAAAACTGATTATGGAAATAGACATTGGGCACTTAAAATATATTAAAATCGATCCAGCCGCTTAGGAGAGGTTCAGATTAAATACTAAAATCTACTACCTACTGTTGCAACCACCGGGTCTAAATGTCCAAATGTGAATCTAAGCCACCCAAGGACACCCACTCGAATGCACACAAAATTTCATCTAAATCTGTACAACCGTCATAAATTTTTAGCGCGACTAACTAATATAATTGATTGATATATAAATACAAGATAAAAGATATAGGAGAAGTTAATATACATACTTTCACGGTACATACCCTCTGCAGGGTCGAAAAAGTATAGGTGTATGTAGGTCGCGGCAAACATCTTGAGTAAAACCACAGATAAATAGCGCAGTAGACTTTTTGTGTGTAATATTGCTACTGCGGAAGTTGCGTTGCTCAAGAAGTTTGCCAGTATGAATAATGTGACTGTGAGACATTTTTAAAATATTAGCATGGCTTTACTCGCACATGACCCTATTGTATTACGAAAACACTTCTAACTATACTGGGGTGTCGCTAATGATTGGTCGCTTCAAGCGAGACCGATCATTTATCGATGATCGTAACATTAAAATAGTCTGATTTTAATGTCCCCACTGCTGGAGCACAGGACTGGCCGGGACACACCACGCGGATATTGATGTATGGTAACGGTTGCAGAGGCAGCCAGGGCAAACGGTTTAATGTGCCTTCCGATGCACAGCTGAGCTCGGTGGGTCACCCATCCAATGATCATCCAAGTGTGTTAATGCTCTGTGTGTAGTGTTGACTGGATATTTTACAGAAAACTACTGCCTAAGGTACCGTGTCCGTTGATAGGCTTTTGCTGCCTGAGCGCGAAAGTTAGAGGTTGAATCATTATTTTTTTTAATCACTCTCAGTCCACCGTGAATATTATTAATAATAAAAATAGTGGGAACGGTGAACATATTACACGCGTTATATAAAAATATATAGTAAAGGAAATGAAGCATTTCGGTTCGCAATTTTTTCGTCCACCATGGATTTACTTGAAATTTTCACAAAAGGTAAGGAACAGCTGAAGAATCATTTTCTATATCATGTCGCTGTACGCTAAAGCCTTGGGGGTGGTCGCCACATTACATTATTACATTTTAACTGTAGGATTCGACGGAAAAAGTAAATCTAAGAAAAAAATATAATATACGTTTTTTTTTCGTAAAACAATTTTTTTTGAGTTATTCAAAGTTGAAAGTAACAGATTTTTGACGAAAGATCCACTTTTTTAAATGTTTTTTTTTGCGAATAACTCTAAAAATATGCATTTTATCAAAAAAGGTGTAAAGAGTCAAATTGTAGCTTTTAAAAAAACGAAGACAATGCGTTTTTTATAATTTTTCAATGACAAATATGAACTAACATACAGCAAATAACAAACAAATAACATACAGCTTAGCTTTTTTCTTCAAATGCATAAATTGGAAGATTTACAGCGAAATAACGAGAACAATTTGCATTATTCGAAGAAAGCTCATAGAATCTGGTTTAAAGTATTTAATTAGAGCTTTCAAACAAATAAAAAATAATGTCTCTAGCATGAAAATTGACCGATTTATGATCAAAATAAGATCCGTACCCGCTTTTTTTTACGAAAAAAATCTGTGAAAACAACCCCTAAAGTACCCCCTAATTAAAATTGATCGCCACCCTTCTGTAATTCTCTTTATATATGTATTAATACACCTACGAAGTTAAAGTATTTAAAGTGCCAAATTTTAGAAAAAATGGAGTTTAAAGAGAAAACCGTTTTTTTTTCAATGTCGTGTTTTTCACCATTTTCTTAAAAATATCCCCCAAAATACTAAAGAAACCGATATAGTACTAAATTGTAGCTATTTATTAGCAAAAATTTCCCTGTGTGCATATTTTTTGTACAGTGAATATTCGGCGAGAGCCGTTTAACACCTACATTTACGATTGAACAATACCTTATTCAAGCCCTTTAAACTTTCCCCATTTAAAAATTAAGGGATCTTAAGTAATTTAATTTCCATAGTCTTATAATTCATAATTCATAGGTCCTGAAAATCTCTACAAATTCGTTTCTGAAAAAAATTTCCTATCATCTAAGATGAAGGAGCTATGCTTAAAACACCGATAAATTTTTATTTCGATTTTTTTTAATGTTTTACGGGTAGTTTTTAACAAGTGTAGGTTGAAAGATTATGAAATTGTATCCTTAAGCATTTAACAATAATTTTTTAACTATTTTTACCCATATTTAGGTTTTTAATTTTATTTTTACCCCTAAAAAACAAAAAGCCTACAACGGCACAATATAAAAAATGAACTAGAGGGTGAAATAAGCCTAATCCCAAATTTTTGTAGAAATCCGTGCTGAACGTAAAAATTGCGAGGTTTTACCATTTTTTTAGCTTCATTTCCTGGACTAATAGTGATTTATAGCGTTTACAAAATACACATCTAAATTAATGGAATTATTCTCCGTTTAATTACGTAGATCCTGAAATTAGGTTTAAGCCTTCCCCTTAGGCGCGTTATTATCGGATACGTTATTGCGATAATTTGAAATATTCTTATTGCGTCGTAATTATCGCTGTAGTGTGTAACTTCGTAGTCGTCCTAATCCTAATACATCTAAACATATAAACCTCCAGTAGCTTCTATTCAAAAAACTGACGATTTGGAAGAGACAAAAAGCCATTGTAAGTATATTTCTCCTGATACACGTTTTTTAATCCTATTTCAATTACTTACTTAATTATAGTGCATTGAAATTAGTTGATGCGTTTATGTTTTTCTCTACACATAGGTTGACAAACGGAACCCTATTAATATGCATCCGCTATATTTCTGTCACAGGGCTCTATATTTTTTGTACAGAAATTGGTGGATACCTTTTATTTATCAATGCATGCGTGTTACTGTAGCGGCTTTCACAACATTATTATATTAAAAGTATAATTTAAAAGCTTATATAGGTAATATATTTTTTTATTTATTCCTGAATATCTTAAAACCGTGTTTTACAATTGAACAGTTTAATTAGGTATTGTGCAATGCTAATGACCACTTCGTTTTTGTGTGTAGTTTTTAAATAGTTGAATCGTATATTTTTGCAAATATTATAAAAAACGAACTCTACGTTGGAACGAAAAACTATAGGGCATGTAGTATATTATTATTCAAAATTAGTGTCACCTGTATTCGTTGCCCTGCGCTAAACGCTAAACGAACATATTCCTGTCTAGAAATCCTCAAAATTTGAATCTTTACCATTTGCTGTATTATACAAAAAACAGTGGATAAAACAAAATCTGAAAAATGAAAAGTGGGAGAACTTTTCACGATTCTTGTTGTATCCACTGTGTTCTGTACGATACAGCAGAAGGTAGCTTTTCGCCCACACAGATGGCAAACTGAGAACTATTTTCATAATCTGACGCATACTCGTACTTACACTTGTCACTAGTCAAAGCGGGTCGCCTCCAGTGCGGTTTCAATTTGAATATTTGCGCGGCATATGCTTCGTTATCATAACAGTGGATCTCATGGCCCAACACACTGTAAGTGTTATGGGACTTTCGACCTTTATCAGGTTTTGTGCAATATGAAATTTTTATAGTTTCGCAACGCCGTTTAAAGGGAGTGCTTTCTGAATAAACTAATAAATATTCACTTCCATTCTTTATCCTACTTTGTAACGTACCTCAGGAATCGTCCCATGGTTTCGACTATCATAGGTTCCATTTCACACATTTTATCATCTAACATAATCGATATTCATCAGGCATAAAGATATATATATATATATATATATATATATATAACAGTGCTCCGCTGTTGCGCTTAGCGTACGGATGTGTATACTTCTTTAGCGGCGTTGTACACTTTTTTTGTATGGGTAAAAAAATTTAAACTCGCATCAGGACACGTGGGCTGATCGCGTCATGACACGTGGCCTGATCGGGGATCTGACGAAAACAATAAAATTGAAAAGGTTGTTGACTTTCAATATATTGGACGAAACATAGTAATATTTTATTTTATCGTATTATAATAATAGGTCTCTATCTAGGACGTCCAGGTGGCAGCTTTATTACGAAGAAAATGCATGTTTTTTACAATAGATGTCGCTAAGTGCGCTTAAACGTGATTCATGTAAGTTGATTTTTCTGAGAGATAAACTTTTTTAATGTAATATAAATTGTCATGTTTATGTACGATAGCGCAATAAATAAATATTGTATTCTACCAAATAAATGATAGTACTTTTATACTGATAATTAAAGCAATTCGTTTAAAATTATTCCCTAACCATCCCAAAATATCAAAAATGCATAACATTAATATTCAAGTTTTTACTTCTGCCGGCACTCCCGGTGTGCAACCCGTCGTTTTTTTTTTGCTGCCCTAGACGTTTCGCCCTACATAGAAACCTCAAGTATGGTGGGAGTACTTCACAAGGTGAAAGGTTGCCCCCATATGTTAATCTGCCGCTATCGAGGAAATCCAAATATCCCCGCTTGGGCTCCCCTATTATTATCTAAATAACTTATAAAGTTTGCCATTTTTGCTATGCTTAAAGTACCCCTCAAGGGGATTTAGAGGATGTCGAAGTTTTTATATGGATGAATTTTAATGCGCATGGCGATTAAATCTAAACTTAGTATTTATACCTGAGACCTGAAATAAGGAATAACATGTATCAGGTTCTTTGAAACTCTACCCCTCACGGTTTAAAAAGGTGTAGTAAATTTTACTGGAATAGTTATTAAAGATTTTAGTTCGGCAAGTTGGTTATTATAAACGAGTAGTATCCCTTTGAGCTGATTTTTTATTTTAGGGAATAAAAAGAAGTCACTCGGAGCCAAATCAGGATTGTAAGGAGGGTGTCCAAAGACTCTGACTGGTGTGGAGTCCAGGAAGTCCTTCGTTTTGATCGCAGAGTGCGCGGGCGCGTTGTCGTAGTGAAGAAGGACCCCGCGGAGCCCGGTGTCAGGTTGCTTGTTGCTCATTGCAGAAAAAACTTCTGGCAGGCATTTTGTGCTATACCATTCGGCGTTGATGCTGCTTTGGTCTCGAAGTGAAATTGATTTTGGCGGGGTGCCAAAGTGAAGAAACTAGCGATCAAAATTTTCTCTGTGCTCCTCGATCGCTTCACTTTCGTAGGTGTTGGCTCATTTTGAAACAGCGAAACTGTCGCCTAACGCTTTGTTTCTGGATTGTAATGATAAATCCAGCACTCGTCACAATATCGTAAACGCGCCGTGACGAGCCTGCATCAAATGTTTGTATCATATCACTGCACCAATCCACACGGGCCTGCTTCGGAGCTTCGGTGAGGTTGTGCGACACCCAGTGGGAAACTATCCTCCTTACTCAAAGGTGCTCGTGCAAAATTTTGTGAACACTTCCTGAACCAATCTGCAGACTCTCTCTCTGCAGAATCTGCTGAATCACTTCGTACGTAATTCGTCTGTTTTCTTGAATTATTTTTTTTTCTGCACGCACACTTTCTTCGGTGACAGCCGTCGTAGGACGTCCACTCCTTTATTCATCCCCCAAAGTAAGACGACAGCGTTTGAACTCGCTATACCAGCGGTAGATGGTTACTTTTGAAGGTCCTTCATCCATAAAAGCAGTTGGAAATCGATCAAATGACTCATCAGGTTTTAAGCCACATTTAAAATCGTAAAAAATCATAGCACGAAAATGTTCCATTGTTTAATGAGACAAGAAAAAAATAATTGGCTCTCGGAAAATTTGAAAATGGATCAGTTTTATTTTTAGTTTTAAATAATCGATGTTTTCAAAATAATTACAAGTGGCCAGTGTCTTATACATAAAAACTTTTTTTTTGCAAAACTTTTTTTACTTATCGCAATTAACGTATCCGATATTACCGACCTATAATAACACGCTTATGGAGTTGATGCCTTACTGAATGAATTTATAAAAAAATAAAATTATTTAGCTTTCATATTGACAACGGCTTACCAATTTTAAAAGATGAGGTGCGAAAAGCATTGCATAAGGCTAAGGCCCTCAAATCAGCAGGACCTGACAATATACACACGGAAATACTCAAGATGATTGAAGACGAGCATCTCGAAGCCATTGTTCACCTAATGAATCTCGTGTATGACATAGGCCATTTTCCAAAGACTGGCTAATTTCTACCTTCGTCACTCTTCCTAAGAAAAGAAATGCCAAAAGGTGTGAAGAGTTTAGGACAATCAGTCTCATAAGCCATGTTCTAAAGCTGTTTCTCAGTATCATACATGAGCGTATTAGGAAGAAGTGTGATGAGCAACTGGCTGATAGTCAGTTTGGGTTTCGTTCCGGTGTGGGTACTAGGGAGGCTCTTTTCGCGATGGATGTTCTGTTTCAAAAATGTAGAGACATGAAGCAAGATGTGTTCATGTGCTTTGTCGATTACGAAAACGCATTTGATAGAGTTGAACACCATAGACTTATCGCACTTCTGAGAGACATTGGCCTTGATGATAAAGACATAAGAATAATTCAGAATCTTTACTGGAACTAGCGTGCTACAATTCGAGTTGAGGGAACTGACTCCAAAGAGCTAGATATCCAAAGAGGAGTTAGACAAGGTTGCATCTTGTCCCCTATGTTGTTTAATCTTTACTCAGAGGCTATTATGGCTGAAGCGCTTGAGGATATCAACTGTGGTATTAAAATCAATGGACGCCTAATCAATAACCTTCGTTATGCCGATGACACAGTACTTATAGCTTCATCGATGACAGAGCTACAGAGGATTGTCGAGCGATTCACGCGCTGTTTTCTTCTTCTCGCGGGTTGAGTGAGAAAGCTGGCTTGAAGATGAACATCAACAAAACCAAACTAATGGTTGCGTCCCGTGATGTCGACCTGAATACTACGGTTAGAATATCGGGTCACCAGATAGAAAGAGCCACCAAGTACAAATATTTAGGCACCTGGCTGACTGAAGACTGGGATTGTGACACAGAAATAAAAACCCGCATTGAAGTCGCCCGTAGTGCCTTCAATACTATGAAAAAAGTGCTTACTAACCGTGGTCTTCACATTACACTCCGTACTCGGCTTCTGCATTGCTATGTCTGGCCAATACTTCTGTACGGATGCGAGTCTTGGACTATTAAAATAGAGCTCAGAAAACGTATAGACGCATTCGAAATGTGGGCTTACAGACGAATGTTGAAAGTTAGTTGGACTTAAATCGTAACAAATGATGAAATCCTGCGACGTGTCGGCAAAAAACGCGAACTTTGGGATACCATCAGAGTGAGGAAAGTTGCGCATCTAGGGCACGTGATGAGACACGAAAGGTACGCCCTTTTACAATTAATAATGATGGGCAAAGTAGCTGGAAAACGAGGCGTCGGTCGCAGAAAGAAGTTTTGGTTGAGGAACCTACGAGAATGGACTGGAATCTCGAGCGCCGCTGAATTATTCCATCTCGCTAAGGATAAGGAGACATATGCTAAGCTGACTGCCAACCTCCGCTGTTCGGAGAGGCACTAGAAGAAGAAGAAGAATTGACGACCTCCGTGGCCGATTGGTATGTACGTCGAGTTCGGCGTCGGCGAGTGGCGTCGGCGTCGTCAACTCAGAGGTCTCAGATTTGAATCCCGATTGGGGCAAATGTTAGTATGATGAATACGAGCATTTGTACCATTGTTATGGATGTTAATATATATTTCTAGATATCAGTATATCGCACCTTTATTCCAATACTGTCATTAAACAAAATTCTTCAAAAAATAGTTTTCTACGCCATCTATTTGCTACGTTGTGAATCTACACATTTGCTGCTCTGCTGCATAATTTGCTTTTTATGATAATGACAGTATTGGAATAAAGGTGCGATATGTATTCTATCCGGTACCCTAGCATCCCATAACACCAGCCTTACAGTGCTTACTTTGGGGCTAGGCGAATTAGCGTGAGTGGGGGAAATATTTATTTATATATATTCTACAATTATCAATTATCACTTCAAGTGGAGGCGAAGGAGGGAGGAAAAAATGCGGAACTATAAAATAAACCGTTGCCGGAAGATTTACAGGTAACTCAAAATTCACGGTGATCATAATGTTTGTAAAGTTTTTCCGTTACAAATATTGATCGACTTTTAGAACTTGTATTAGTGCGTAAATATAACTAAACTTAAATATATTTTTTAATAAAATGAAAAATATGTACCTGGAAATTCTTGTTCTCTGGAAATACTAACGGTGACATCAGCTTCTGTAAAATTTTACATTCATAAATCTGTTACTATTTAGTTATAGCAATGAAGACATGACCCATGCTTTGAAATGTAACAACATTTATTTTGCCGTAGTCAAATTTATTTAATGTCGTATTTTTTATTTATTTTATTTGCACAGCTTTTTCTATTTCGTTTATTCGTATCGATATACGTTATAATGTATAAAACATATTCCTATAGCTAAAGTGTAAAATATCATATGTAGAACATATGTTTATTTATGTAATGTTATTGAACTACTTACCTTGTATTTGAGATGGTTTCTTAGGTTTGCGTTTAGCCAAAATTGTTAGTTGTTCTTCGTCGTATGTGTCGGTATTAATTCTCTTTGGTTTAAGGTCAACACTTAATTCTTCAATTTCACTAACTTCGTACTTTGGTTTTTTAATTTTACGTTTTATCACCATTTGCACATTGTCATCAGATTCAGCCTCACTAACGATTATTTCTTCTGCTTGACTATCGTCTTCAATTTCTTGTGTTATTTGAATTGATGCCTCATCGGCCGCTTCTGACAAAGTTGCCTTTTTCTTTGGCTTTAATTTAATTTTACTTGAAAGGGATAATTCTTCTTGTGTAAATTGTTCTATCTGAGGTTTCACATCGTAACTAACTTCTTCTTGATCGTCGATAACATAGTTTGGTTTCCTTTCTAGTTTAAAACTGACATCTTCAGTAATTTCAGTAATTTCTTCAGGTTTCTTGGGTTTAGCAATTGTCACACTTGAATTAATTTCTTCAGATATTTCTTTGACGGGCTGAGGTCTTTTCAAAGACACCATAAGATTAGTTAAATCATTGTCACGCTCATTGTCGCTTTCTATAATTTCTACAATGTTAGGTCCGTCATCTTCCTCTGTATAAAATTTTATAGATGCTTCATCCGCTTCTTCATTGAATGTTGGTTGTCTTTGTGGTTTTAGCTTAACTTTGCTCGACATTGAAATTTCTTCTTCTGCATAAGAATCCAACTGGATATTGAATTCCTGTTCAACATCTTCTTTGGTTTGTGTAGTTTTAGGTCTAAAAGTAACATTTTCCGGTTCTGTGATTTCAGGAAGTGTTATGGATGACTTGCGAATTGGTTTTAATTTTTTCTTTATAGTAACCTCATCTACAACTTCTTCCGTCTTTTTAACGCTGGGCCGTCGTGGTTTTATAGTGAATTGTTCAGGTTCGTCCTCTTTATCACTTTCTAATAATTCTTCTGTTGGCACATTGTCTTTTTGTTGGGTAGCTTCTATAATGTCTTCGTAACCGAACATTGGTTTTTCTAGCTCTGTCTTTTCAAATTCAGGCAATTGTGGTTGTTTGTATGTAGTCTTTTTGATTTTAGCGGCTTCTTTAATATTTCTTGATAATATTCCATTATGTCGTATACTTCCTATAAATGTAACAATCGGTAGGCAAGGTTGTGGTGGATAGTCCGTGGTATATATAATTCTACTTTTTAATTGGAATTTCGGAAGTATAGTTGAACTTGGCTCTTGTTTGGGTTTCGTTACAGTTTTCTTTAATTTGAGTTTTGTAAACTGGGGTCCGTCTATGTTTTCTGCGTGTTGTGCTTTACTTATTTCAACTGTTTTCCTTACTATCTTTATCGGTGTCAATTTCAATTTGGGTTTCTTTTCCAAAGTTTTAGGTTTTTCTAAGATTTCATTTTCAGCACTTTTAGGGACTTCTTCTGTAACAACCTTTTCTTCCATTGGCTTTTTCATTTTTTTAGGTTTTTTGTCTTTTTTGATTTCTGGTATTTCTTCTTCTTTAGATTCTGATTTAATTTCTTCTAAAGTGTCGACAGATTCTTTAGGAATATTTTCTTCTAATTTATCCATTGTGATCTCGTCTTCATTTCCATGAATTGGTACTTCCTGTATTTTCGGTTTTTTTGTTTTTTTCTTTACTATCTTATCCTTTTCTTCGGGTACATCCTTTTGTTCTGAAGTGGTTTTCGTTGGCTCTTCAGTGTTTTTGATGGCTTCATCTTCTATCACTGGTGTATCTTGTGGCTTATCCAAAACCATATTAGTACTAGATATTTCCAATGGTTCTGCAATTTCAGCTTGTATCGGTTTTTTATTTTCTTTCTCGCCTTTCTTCATTATCTCATCTTTTTGTTCTGTGGAAGTTTTCTGTGGCTCTTTTTCTTTGGTTTCTTTTTCGATCACTGATGTTTCTTGCCGTTTATCCTTATCAGGACTGATTTTATCTATTTTTTTTGTATCTGCGGTCTTTGATAATTTCTTTTGTAATTTTTTTTCAAACGTTTCTTCAGGTAATTTCTCTTTTTCCTGGATTTCCTGTGGTTCTTTTTTGATTATTTCGCTGACTTCTTTAGGAGAAGATTCTCCATTATGTTGCTCAGTACTTTCAATGTGCAAAGGTTTTGTATCTTGGAGTGTAATCGATTGCCCATCATCTTGTTCACCTAGTAACTGTTTATCCCGGGGCAACTGTTTGTCTAAATATTCATTTTCCCCAGTTTGTTTTTCTTTGCCTCTTGGCGTGTCAGTCGGCTGTTCAGTTTCTGAAGGAAAATCTATTTTCTCTAATTTTTCCAGTTCAATTTCATAATCTGGAATGTTTTTCATTTTTGGCTGCTTCTTCTTAAGCTTCGCAGCTTCTTTCACGTTTCTGGATAACTCACCATTTTGTCGTACACTGCCCATGTATGATATAACTGGCTTAATTTCTGAAGGAGGCCAATCTTTAATATGTCTGATACGACTCTTCAATTGGAACTTTGGTAGAGTAACAGCACTGGATTCGTGTTTTGGTTTTTGAGTAGGCTTTTTCAGTTTTATCTTCGCAAATTGAGGACTCTCAATATTTTCTGCATGTTGAGGTTCGCTTATTTTCATTGTTTTTATTTCTATTTTCTGTGGTATTAGTTTAAGTTTTTTAGGTTCTATTAATTTTTGTTTTTCTTCTTCCGAAGGTTTGTCTTCCTCTGGAGTCGCAGAAACTACTTGCGGCGGTTTGTCATCTAAACGAGACGTTTTCTTTATCTTTTTGGTCTTTTTCTTGTCATTTTCATCAGGTTTTTCCACTAATGAAATATCTGTAAAAGTAATATATTTTTGATTTAAAAGATGATTATTACAATGGAATAACAAATATTACTGAAAAAAGTGGTTTTCAAGTAGTAGTAGAAAAGTTTCAAATGTATGTATGTGGTAAGTTGTCATTTTGGAGTAAACATTAACATCATTCAAATGTAGGAGAAATGACGTTTGTGCTCACTTATTTAAAATAAAGAACCTCGGTATTAGTAACAAATTGACATTAGTAATAAACGGATTTTATGTATGTATACTTAAACAATGTTTATAAAGTTTGATATATTTTGGATTAAAAAATTCATGTTAGAAATTATAAGTAATTCCAATTGTATTAAGCTTAGTCAAAATTTTCAAAGTAAAAACAGGAAAATTATGTTATATTTACATGTATCTAAAATACTTTCAAACACTTATCCCTATTAATTTATTAACTATTGTCCGTTGAAAGGTGACATCCTTTTGAAAATATGTAGCGAGGTCAACTTCCATCACATAATTGTAAATAAATAAATAAAATAATGTAAATAAAAATAAGCGTACTGTCAGCGCATCCGCCCGGATAGCGGAGGGTGAGGGTTCGAGTCCCATTTGCTGCCTGGACCGAGTGTTTTTTTTTCTAGATTCTTTAGTTTCAAACATGTAGCAGGTAGATGCTTAAAAATATTAATATTTTGCCTTGCCGTCTAACGTAGCAATGCTGCCAACCTATGGGGCACTATTCCTAACGGCGATGCTGGGGTGACATATTTTTTAAATTACGAATTAAGGCAATTTGGATTTCAAAATATTTTCTCATTTGAATAGTCCAATATTTTTTCCTACCATCTGTTTTTATCCGGACTATTAGTCGTGGGGAAGAACTGGCGAACGAAACTCGTCACCTTCCTACTTGATGGTTGTCGTCATGTGACAGTGTTTCACGTTTTTATAATGAATGATAATCATCTATCTTCTGATATCGTTCTAAAATGCAGCTTGATGAATGAATGATTATCATCAATCTTCTGGTATCGTTCTAAAATGCAGCTTCTTTGGATTTTTACTATTTATAAAGATTAGGTTATTTACGATTCATAGAAACATCTATCAATATCAGTTTACGTGAGACGATCATTTTGTAAAGTGTCTGGATAAATGGAATATAACGATGTTAATTTGATTTGACACTGTAGTTTCCGTAGGTAACTCCAGTAAGATATTGGAATACAGAATCAGTGTCATCTTTCGTTGATTTCTATTCAACTACGCTAAAGGTTTGTGGCGAGCAAAAATTTACGTTTCGTGTTTCAACTTTGGTTTCGTTTACGATTAGTGTTCAATGTGTATAATTATAGTTAACGCATAAAATAGTGTCTTATATGTAAATGTGTAGAGACCTACTAGATAAACCTACTTGATATTCCACTTGTTCTTAAGATTATTTTAGTTTCGATTATTGGCACTTCTTTCAATCTAGTAACAAAGTTAGTCTTGTGCGAAAACTTACTTTCAGTTGTATATACTTCCTCAGGAGCAATTACATCAATCAACTCGATTGCATTGAAGGATTTGGTTTGTTCTTCTATAAATTTATCTTTCATTACACTAACCATTGTGACTGGAGCTTGGTCCACTTCTTGTGCACTGAGAACACTGAGAACGTCTGTGTTCTGTTCTATAGGTTTTTTATTATTATTCTCATCTTTTGAAGTGACAGTGCGTTTAGTATCTTAAACCGTTGTAGCTTAAACAATATCTGATTTACCTTGCGATATTTGCACAGTATCTGGTCCATCCACTATAACTTTTCTTCTGGTTTCTTTTTTCTATGACATGAACGGTGGTGATTAGGGCTCTATTATCCTCTGTAGACGTCACGATTTCGTTACATTTCTGATTTGGCCCTTTCCTCTTTTTGATAGCACGTTTAGTACTTTTTATTGTTTTTATATCACCTAAGTCCGTGTTCACTTGTGTTATTAGTACAGTATCAGTTTATTGTTCAATGGTTTCGTGTGTAGGTTGTTCAGTTATGTGTACTGTGTTGTTTCGTGTTTGATCGTTTACCTGTTCAGATGTGATCTCAGAAGTCCTAATTTTAGGTTTTATCTTTTTCTTGATTACGCGTATAGTTATTTTTGTTTTGGTAAACTTACCTTTTGGTGTCGTTTCCTCTTCAACCGGTATTTCTTCGGGCAGCTGCACTGTTTGAACTGAATCAGTTTCTTCATCGGATGGTTTTTCGACTTGGAGAGTAACCGCAGTGACCGGAGCTTCATCACCTACTTGCGAAGTGAGTACTTCGATGACTTGTTCTTTTTGTCTTTTGACGATGTCAATGACCTCGGCGGTGTCGGGTTTGTGTAATGTGTCAAAAGGTTCAGTGGTTTCGTCTGTAATTTGTTCGGTAGTGTGTCCTGAAATTATTGGTGTTTCGTCGTCTAACTGTTCAGATATGACCTCGCTTGTCTCAATTTTAGGTCCTACCTTTTTCTTTATAACGCGTTTGGCAGTTTTAGTTTGGGTAATCTTACCTTCGGGTGACTTGTCCTCTTCAACTGTTATTTCTTCGGGTAGTTCCACTATTTGAACAGGTTCAGTTTCTTCTTCAGATGGCTTTTCGTCCACAAGAGTAACTATAGCGACCGGTGCTTCCTCACCTATTTGCGTAGTGAGAACTTCTGTGATTTGTTGTTTCTGACCCTGCTTTTTCTTAATGACGGGTTTGGTTGTTTTAACAGTCTGCACATCATTAGTTTCAGTGTGAACCTGACTGAACTGCACATGCTCGGGCACTTCAACTACGTGTCCAGAATCGACATCGAAAATTGTCTCAAGTGGAGCAGTGACATCTTCGGCGAGTTCTTGTATTGTTTGCACAGTTACTACCGGCTGCTTGTCATCTTCCTGCTTCGTAACTGTTTCCGTTGTTTCTATTTTGGGTCCTTTCTTTTCCTTGATAATGCGCTTGGTCACTATCTTCTGGGTCGTCTTGCATTCAGGCGTTTTGATTTCTTTAATGGCGATTTCATCCGGTAGTTCAACAGTTTCGGTAGGTTTTGTTTCTTCTGGTTTCTCTTCTTCCGTGACGTGGACGGTAGTGATTGGAGCTTTGTCATGTTCCACAGTAGACACGATTTCGGTGACTTCCTGTTTCGGTCCCTCTTTCTTTTTAATAACTCGTTTAGTAACTTTGACTGTTGTTATATCACCTGTGTCCGTGTGCACCTGTGTTATTTGTACAGTGTCAGATGGTTTTTCATTGATTTGAACAGTGTCGGGTTTGTGTAAAGTGTTAAACGGTTTAGTAGTTTCGTCTGTATTTTGTTCAGTTGTGTGTACTGTAATAATCGGTGCTTGATCGTCTTGTTGTTCAGATAAGATCTCAGTAGTCTCAATTTTAGGTACTACCTTCTTCTTAATGACGCGTTTGGATATTTTCTCTTTGGTAACCTTACCTTCGGGTGTCTTTTCCTCTTCAATTGTTGTTTCTTCGGGTAGTTCCACCATATGTGCTGGTACAGTTTCTTCTTCTGATGGTGTTTCCTCTACAATAGTAACCGTTGTTACCGGTGCTTCTTCATCTACTTGAGTAGTGAGCACCTCCGTTATTTGTTCTTCCGGACCCTTCTTTTGCTTAATGACTCGTTTGGTAGTTTTTACTGTCTTCACCTCACCAGTTTCAATGCGCACCTGACTGAACTGCATATGTTCAGGCTCTTCGACTACGAGTCCAGAATCGACATCGAATATTGTCTCAAGTGGAGCTGTGACATCTTCGGCGAGTTCTTGTATTGTTTTCACAGTTACTACCGGCTGCTTGTCATCTTCCTGCTCCGTAACCATTTCCGTTGTTTCTATTTTGGGCCCTTTCTTTTTCTTGATAATGCGCTTGGTCACCGTCTTCTGCATCGGCTTGCCTTCAGGCCTTTTGATTTCTTCAATGGCGATTTCTTCCGGTAGTACGACAGTTTCAGTAGACTTTGTTTCTTCTGGTTTCTCTTCTTCCATGACGTGGACGGTAGTGATTGGGGCTTTGTCATCCTCTTCAGTCGTCATGATTTCGATGACTTCCTGCTTCGGTCCCTTTTTCCTTTTGATAATGCGTTGAGTCACTTCTACTGTTTTTATATCACCTGCGTCTGTGTGCACTTGTGTAACTTGTACTGTGTCTGGTTGTTGTTTAGTAATTTGAGCAATGTCTGGTTTGTGTAAAGTGTCAAACGGTTCAGTAGTTTCGTCTGTATGTTGTTCAGATGTGTGTAATGTAATGATCGGGGCTTGATCGTCTAGCTGTTTAGATGTGATCTCAGTAGTTTCAATTTTAGGTCCTACCTTTTTCTTGATGACGCGTTTGGATATTTTCTCTTTGGTAACCTTACCTTCGGGTGTCTTTTCCTCTTCAACTGTTGTTTCTTCGGGTAGTTCCACCATATGTGCTGGTTCAGTTTCTGCTTCTGATGGTGTTTCCTCTACAATAGTAACCGTTGTTACCGGTGCTTCTTCATCTACTTGAGTAGTGAGCACCTCCGTTATTTGTTCTTCCGGACCCTTCTTTTTCTTAATGACTCGTTTGGTAGTTTTTACTGTCTTCACCTCACCAGTTTCAATGCGCACCTGACTGAACTGCACATGTTCAGGCTCTTCGACTACGAGTCCAGAATCGACATCGAAAATTGTCTCAAGTGGAGCTGTGACATCTTCGGCGAGTTCTTGTATTGTTTGCACAGTTACTACCGGCTGCTTGTAATCTTCCTTCTCCGTAACCATTTTCGTTGTTTCTATTTTGGGCCCTTTCTTTTTCTTGATAATGCGCTTGGTCACCATCTTCTGGATCGTCTTGCCTTCAGGCGTTTTGATTTCTTCAATGACGATTTCTTCCGGTAGTACGACAGTTTCAGTAGACTTTGTTTCTTCTGGTTTCTCTTCTTCCATGACGTGGACGGTAGTGATTGGGGCTTTGTCATCCTCTTCAGTCGTCATGATTTCGATGACTTCCTGCTTCGGTCCCTTTTTCTTT